GTACATCTTAGAACACGTGGTTTGGGCAATACATGAACTTTATGGATGTGGGGTCATGTATTTGTCACCAATTCGCTCCGACACGTTTATGCATGTTTATTACGTTACTCAATTCTCTCCGTAACTGTAAATTCTACGAGTAATTTCATTATATCCACTTGTGAGCATATACACCCAGACCCCAAGATGATGTCAGTATAATCTTAATGGACACGCGGTCTTAATCTTCCGACTAATATACAAATGTCAGTTTATTACGTTATCAAGTTTATTACGTTATCGTATATATTCAGTACCTCTATCGACCACCTGGTGCCGTTGGTCGGTCGTGGCGGGAATAATAGTGTCACGTGACAAATAGAGGTGCAGACCACTAAACAATGTCAACAAATTAGATGTGCACGACGACGTAAGAGCAAGACCCAGGCTACAACACAGTGAGTATTTGTTCTTGGAAGCATGTACAATCTAATGAAGAGGAAATCAAGTCAATGGCTGAATGGGCGCAAAACAGGTACACAGGACTATGAAAGTTCATAGCGTGGTTGCAGTTGAGGAGCACCTCTACATGCGAGAGACCAGTTGCTTCAAGCCATGTTGCTGGGAAAATAATGAGTTTAAGGGACTGTGTGAGGGATGGTCAAAAACCACATGAATGCAGGCTCCAAAAATTGTTGAGACTCCAAATATCGACAGACCAAAGCATGCGCCAAATGTTGATATGCGAAATGTTGTTGATGCGCCAAATGTTGATCATATGCCAAATGTTGTTGATGTCAAATGTTGTTGTTGTTGATATGCCAAATGTTGTTTTTGTTGATATGCCAAATGTTGTTGATGCACCAAATGTTGTTGATGTGCCAAATATTGTTGATGCGCCAAATGTTGATATGCCAAGTGTTGTTAATGTACCAAATGCTGTTGATGCGACAGAAGATGACCGTGAAACTTTCCCGACTAATGAAACTGTTGAAAATCCAATGACGTATATCACTAATCAGTACATTGCCGCGAAATATGGTAGTAACAATTACCTTGGTAAAATTTTAGATTATGACCCAGAGGATAAAGAGTACATAATTACATTCATGGAGCAAAAAATCAATTCCTTCCGATGGCCCACTGATATCGATGAACTGTGGATACCAGAACGTGACATCATTTTAGGATTATGTACTCCTATCCCAACAGGCCGATGTGCCAGACTTTTCAAGTTACCGAAAATGAGATGGACCTATTTATTAACTAGGCGATAATCAAGTACACTACAGCTATAGGGCAGATCTAAATATTAAGGCCACCTGCAGATTTTATCATAGTCACGAGATGTAAACGTTCTGCGCATGGCCGTAATATTTAGATCAGGGCCCTTATTCACGAAAACTTAAACTAAGTTACAACCGTAATTTTAAGAAATACTGCAACTCCATTGAATATATGCAAATTGATTTTAAAGGTCAGCCAATCGAATTGCAGTGTTTCTTAAAATTTCGATTGTATCTTAGTTTAAGTTTTTGTGAATAAGGGCCCTGACCTTTTGCTGACAAACATGTAAATGTAGTTATTCAACATGTCGTTACCATCAGTAAAATCTCATGTTTATTACGTTATCCTATAACCATGTATGTAGCCATCTGGTATAAAATTTCTATTCCATGATGTTATAGTGTACCTAAACTTATTGTTATTTTAGTCTATCTTTGACTTAAACCGAAGTGACGCTTCAACTAGCTAATTTTTGTGACATGTTTATTACGTTATCCGGTCAAAAATTATGGTCTTGCGGCGACATATATTGTTATACGATATGTTGTAGTTATATTACTACACTATTCAATACGTTGCACTATTTTAAAAGTAACAAAGTCATATTCACCCATGAACCTGCTCGTGAAGTTTGCTGTTTGTTCGGAAACTAGTATCATTTTCTCTGATTAATCAGCTTTAGACAAGATAGTTAAATTATCGTAACACAAAGAGTGTGGGTTATCAATTGTGACTATAAAAATGTTAAGAAAGTTAAATAAAGACAACCATAATGTGTTCCATCATTGTTTTGCCGTTTATCCTTACACCTACCATATTAGTTTATTACGTTATCCTTGCACTTATCATGTTTAATACGTCCCAGACGACTTCATATCGGAGTTAATCGAAGTGAAACTGGCATCTGTCTCGTCATTGCTATTCTTGGTATCGTGACATCGGTATTTCACCCTCTCCCAAACCCGACAATTAGCAATGACAAATAATGAAAGTTGTCACATTTTAAGGGCCCAGTGAAATTGCATTGGCCTAAAAATCATAGCTACAGAAAAGAGCAGCAATTAGCCTTATGCCTCGTCAGATCATTTTCTATCTTGTATTTATACCAAGCCTGCACGTTGTCCGTGACAAAAATATTATCCACTCGGTTATCGTTGGTCAGCTTCGTTATTGTAGAGTAGCCAAAAGATAGCCTAGTTCAACTTGATAACGTAATAAACCGGCCTAATTTTGACATGATATGATACTTTTTGAGCCCCCATTATGGAAAAACCTCGCTGTTGGTGATTCAAATGAGTGTTGTTTCTGGAGGACTGATATGTATGTGATCAGTTTGATACAAAATATCTGGGAGAATTTTTTATATTCACGTATGTGATGGTCCCTGGCCCCAAATTCACTGGAATGACCCATATACAGGCCCAGGGACCATACAGTGCAGTGAACGCTTACGACTGCCCCTGTTATTCTAATATGTCTTCAAGGTGCACAATTCTGTTCAATTAACATTCTGGTGAACTTCATGCATCACTAAACATCTGTGTAAAATATGTAATTGTTGAAGAAATATGGCTATAGATAATAGTATACCCAGTATAATAATAATATGACCTGAGACAGGACACTGATATGTCACACTCAGGGGCCGGGCGAAAGAAATCATATTATTGTTTCCTATCGTGGGAAAATGTGTAGCTTTTTTGGTTGATTGAAAATAGTGTTTAAGAATATTGATTATGTGATTTTCAGTTTGATTAAACATTCCTCCCCTTGTTTTTCTTTACACTTTTGGGGTACTGAATATAGAAATACATATTTCATAAAAAAAAAACATCACCATACTACCTAAAGTGAAACTTTCCTGAACGTTGAAAATTTCCCCTCCTTCACGATACAGTGGAATTGATATGGTGCCAATGACGTCATACCCATCTCCATTAACACTTACAGCCTAATAGGCATTTTTATTTATTTATTTCTTAATGTTTAGCAGATATATTAATGTGATTTTTAATATGATTTTTAGTTGATGTTTCCCTTTAAAGTCACATTCAAGTTCTACGAGAAAGCACGCAAGTTAATTGAATTATTTATTATAAAACATTATTCACCGAACCTTGACTATACGTAGTATTAATCACCTGGTTTATAGAATGTAGGTTCTGTAATAAGTATATAGAACTATTGTATGTAGGTCATCGACCAGTATGTATTATAAAAAAAAACATTACAAAGTGAAAGACATATATACAGGTATAGAGATAAGAGATAATGCTTTCTTTTTAATTTATTTTTATTCCAGAAATGTGGGAAATGCATTTAAATTGGAATGTAATAAACCTTTAAATTATATTAAGGAGATGGATCGGGGTTCCATTCATAGGCATTTCTTATCAACCCTTGACCATTATCTTTAAAATTGTTAGATCGCTTTAATTTGTGTCAAAAGTTAAATTGTGGATATCAGTGGAATTACACATTGAGTTGTTTTGTGGGGTGAAAATGTCTTAGTTGAATATTTACGTCTATACATCAAACCAATTCTGTACTCCACTGATGATACTGAGGGCCAGAAATTAGCAAACAAAATAAACTGTAATTGTTTGGAGACTGCACGTCACTAATCGAAATGACACCTTTGATTAACCCACTTCAACAATTTGTTTTTACCTAATTTAAACAGATTTATCTCCTGTAATCGAAGACTGTCGTGTCTAGTTTGAGCTCCTCACTCCATATTTTTGTAGTCAAAATCACAAATAAGCTTTTTTAACACACTTTTTTTTGGGGGGGTGGGGGGTACATTCCTACTATATGATTATATCTAATGCAGTTTGTCGTTTCATAAACACGACAGATAGCGGTAAACCAGAGGGGTAAAACACCACGTTCATTTGTGGCGTTCACGGGGTCTGACATTTTTCTTTGTCGTGTTTTTTTTTTATTGATATCTCAATTAAACCCGGGTGTGCATTCAACAAGATGGTCGCCACCTTGAGATTAGTAAGACATGTAATATATCTGCGAACACTATTCGTTCCTTCGTTTCTCGAGTTTTACGCCCACTTCCACCTAAGGTGATATCGTAGACAAACGAACACTATCATCGTAGATCCTCTTTATTGACACTAGTTTTATTATTACGTAATAGTAAGTTTACTCTTTCCATGGACACCTGATACCACTCGACTATTGGGTATTAAGTTTTTATATTGACCTATGTAGGAACATCACTTACTGTTATTTATATGATTTCTCCTTCGTTTTATGGACACCCTGTCTTTGATCAGTGGCGGATCTAATTATTTGGGACGCTGATGCACGAAATTTTATCCTTCGCAACTAGTATCGTAATTTAGGTAACCCCCTTTATCTTCTTCAGTGGGGTTGTTCCTGACAAATCACCACGGATTTACTTTTTTAATTGAACCGTTTGACATATTGTTAACATATGGAAAAAACAAATTAATACAAATACCCAATTCTATATAAACTTAATTCCCAAGTTTTGATTTCTACCATTGATATTACCAGGACACCCAGTTACATTACGGTAGCTGTTGCTATTCTATGTACATGTAGTAAGGTTCCCGTCAGCGCAGTAAACATAAATGTTTTAAGCAATGCGGCTTAAACTTCATTAGTTTCATAGTAGATCCGCCCCTAGTGAGATTTATTACATACATTATTTGTATACTATATTTACACACGTGTTTTCAAATAGAACAAGTCGCTAACAATTTTCAAGTTTATTTCAAGGAAACCTATAGCTAAAAACAATATTAGTGCAAATAGTTACTAAATGATCGCACTAGTGATTTACAACAGAACAATGTAAGACAATAGTTTAAAAATTAACACTTTGTAAGAATATCTTCCATAATTAGGTACACTGTCAATGGGAAAGTGATTAAAGTGGAACTGCAGCCATTAAAATGTATATTGCCTAATATTGAAAAACACACAATGCCAAATTGACTTTAAAATACCAGCCGTGGTGTTAATTTAAACAAGACTGAGAGAATATAAAGGTAACTGCCAGTGTCTGTTTGTAAACAAAACCCACATCACGCGTTATAATGGCTACTATCTGTGCACTGTAAATACGAATGTGTCACAAAGGAATAAGCAAGTCGTCGAAACGAAAAACAGGCTGACAGTTTCCCTCATAAGTTTCCACACTCATATCTTAATTTGTTGTGCATTTCTAAAAATATCTGGATAATGAACAAAATGCAAATATATGGCAACGACTAGAGTTCACCTTTAAACAGAACCGCGTTACAGTTGGCGTTGTGAATAAGATTCGAATAGTGGAAGTGTTAATTTCAAATCATTATTATTTATCTTATCAACAACATAAATATTTTAAAATTTGGTTGAAGGAGCTACAAAGTTCATTTTATCACTAAGGATTACATGGTAACAGTTTGGTGTACATGTATGCATAAGGATTAAGTTTGTGAAAGCATAAATATTTTAACATAATACAGATACAATCTTTATTCTTAAATAACCCGCAAATGCAGGTTCTTCATACCTTATAAATTATCAGCTAGTCTCATAGGTCCAACCGGAAATACAATTAACAAATTGGGACTCCTACCGTGACGTCATCAGGTTTACTCCCGGGCACTGTAAAATTACAACCAAACGAAAACAACTTTCTGTTGTTGCCTGATTTGTACAAACAAAAACCACCTCATGGAGCATACTTAAAGCACAGTTCGACTATTTCGTAAAATATATTATATGTTTCAATCATTCACAACATCAGATATTTTTTAAACGCATTTTTAGACCGAATTTCGTCTTGAATGTAAATAAATTGCTATACAGAAAGACTAGACCTAAAGCTGCTTTTGTTTAACATGGGGTGTATAAAGCGTGTATAAATTAACAAGGATTTTGTAATATTTACAATCTGAATATAATAAAAAGAGGGCCTGTTGCCAGAAAAGTATTGGTTCCATGATATCGAATCATAAGGCTGGACCTTAAACTTACGATGATCATAAAGCAAGGATTTGTCTGACTACAGACCCCTGATAATAAATAGTAGCTGGCGAGACAGTAGGATTAAGTTAGTTAAAGGACAACTATACCATTTTGAGGAATCTATGTATATACATCCGAGTAATTATTCCTTTAAATCAACTGTTTAAAAAGTGCCCTTTTTGTTGACCTTGGCTGAAGATGGTTGTCTAGCATTCAACGTCTATAACAAATTAACATTAGCCAAAAAGATGGGTTGTATGTACGTAGACTTTGCATATTTCTCAAATTGGTATATGTTTTGCCTACCTAGTTTATAATAATATAATAAAATACTATACAAAATATACAAATGTACAAACAATAATAAATGTATATCAGCCTAGCAAACAATTAATATTAATACACAAATTTTACAACAAATCACTCCTAATTAACAAATAACTCAATATTTAACAATCACTTGCAGGAGTTTGCCGAAGTTTCGTATTTCTGGAAAGGTGACCGAAATGGCAAATAAATAAATACCGCAGAATCCGGGTAGGTTTAAAGCGGGGGCTTTAGTGACTACATAAATGTGGTGTCCGCCAACTGGTGGATCTCCAGAGATAAAGTAAAAAGTTTGTAAATACTAAATCAAAGTACCCTAAATTATCTATTTAAACAGTGTTCGTTTCATATATTGTGTATATATTGGTAGTAAACATACTATGGCCAAAATTAAGCCTGTACTGTATTTATCAAAATACTAAAAACAGTGATCTATGATTTAAAACTATGAATTACTATAGTTTTTCAAAAATATTCGGCAACAACCCTTCATTCTTTAACCATTACTCAACAACAAAAAAATTAATGAAATGTACATCTAAACATATTAATTTCTATTAAATTATATATATATATATAACGCAATGATAATGATATGTAAAATAATATACTATATTATATATAGACGTATGTCGTCATAAAATATGCCACGTATGTCAAAATGACGTAATGTCCAGCAAAGGAATTTGCTTGGTGATTCAATTAGTATGACAAAATGGCCCGGCTGCCAAAGTTTCAACTGAAACATGTTCTGTTTGGTTAAATCCTGAATCTATATCCAGTTCTATATCGCCCTCCCTTTTTTTAAAACGTAAACGAGTTGTAAGAAGCTTCGATTCGAATACTCTAAATCTAAGCTACGACTGTTTTGTTTTCTAGAATAGAACTGGCTAAAACTGGCAGCTTTATTTTAAAGTTAGTATAGGTCAATATACTCATCTGTTTTAGCACAAGGATGTCTGGCATTTAATTTTATGTCTTTCCGGGTTGCCATAACAATAAGAGAGAGAGAGAAATGGGGTTTAACGTACACTCGACACAACTAGGTCATTTCGGGACTAACATGTGGTTTAATTTTATTTCAACAATTCGCTTGCGCATAGAGGTCTTTAGCAGTGGGAGGAAACCGGAGGACCCGGAGAAAACCCACGAGGTTGGACAGGCGACCCTACTCCTTGTCACGTACAACCGGAGATTCGAAACCACGCCAGTCGACTCAATGACATACTTTATGATACAGCGCGCGCACGCTAACCATTCAGCCACCCAACCCTCCTGCCATAACAATAAACCCGGTTATATCAAACATCAAGGTAATAACAAATGACTGACAGAGGTAATACAATGGGAATTTATTATGCACCATAGTATGGATATATACACAGATAAGTCAGGTCGACGTGAACTGATCCATTTCAATACTTCTATTACAAATTATTGATCTGATAAGCTAGCACAGTTAAAACCTGATTAAATCAAACTGTGAAATCAATGATATTCGCTGGTCTTTTCATAGATTTCTCTTAAAAATTAAACAAGCCATCAGTAACGCTGGTCTACCCCACCTAAATCTCAAAATAAATAGAAGTACTTACATATCTATCCACAAAGCATCTCACAATCAAATTACTTATCACTCATTGTTAAAATAAGTCAAGGAATTTGGTATAATGAAACTATACACCGAGTTCCATCATTCTAACTCAATCGGAACTTTATCTAATGAACATTTTACCAGCAGGGTTAATGTGTTCCAAATCTTGGTCAACCAAATTTGCGATCTCTGTTTAGCCTAAACAAAACATCCGTATCATCGAAAGTAGGCAAGGCATTGGTAAAATAAAAATATACAAGTTTCACACTTAATTAATCTTAAAGTCATCCTGTTGTAAAGTCTCCAACAATCAAATTAAATATCAACATGCTTAACCTTGTCAGAAAATGTTCAGTATCGAATTTATTCAAAGTACTGATGTAAAGAAGCTAGATACCAAAAACCGACAAATCAGATTTCATATATCTGTTTAGCTCTAGCAAAACATGCTTATCATCGACACCACGTAATACATTCAACTAAAAAAAACCATTTACACCAAGTTTGAACAATCTATCTCAATTAGAACCCGGGGTATTGTGCCCCAAAAGGTTTAACAGACAGACAGGCGGGTCGTAGTCCCCTGCTTTCCCCTAAAGGCGGGGATAATTGCAATAATTCCAGACTATTAAATAGGTTTTATAATTACGCATTTTAAAAGGGAAAGTGGAGTAACACGATTATCACTGTGCGCTATAACAATATACAAGGATATATCAACATTAAAACAGTAACAAATGACTCACGATAGAAGGAATTACAATATCTAGACACTTTCCATGTAAAGAATAACAGAATAAATAAGCACACAGTTAAGTCAGGTTGATCTGACATATTTCACCCAATACAGATCACTGAAGAGATAAATCACTCTTTTTCATCTTGTAATGAATTAATGAACACACACCCACACTAGCCGGTATACTTAAAAACTAACAGATCAACTTAAATCAAATAAATGATTGATGATATTCGCTCGGTCTTTCAACTATATATCTTAAAACTTAAATAGTTATACACAGACGAAATAATACCAGGCTATTTAATACATTTATTTTATAAATAAATATTTAGAAAAGGAAAGTGGATTAAACTTGAAGACAGATATCACTGGGTGCAATAAAACAACCTTGAAAACTATAAAGTTGTATTCCTGTTATTTCAAACACACCTCGTTAAAATTACATCTTAGACAGAAAAAAATACTTTTCTGGACATTGTAGAAGATAATCCTCTATTTTACTGGTCCCCGGAATCTTTGGTAACTAGAGCACCATTTTCACGATTTCTGGGTTAAAATGGCTCCCAATGTTAATACACCGAGTGCTCCTGCAGCATACCCGCATATTTTCCGAAACGATGACCATGGATTTTCATTCCTTCTAGCCGGCTCCTTTTCATAAAAGGCGACAAACCCTTGCTGAAAAATACAAGAAAAGTATATTTAAAGGAGCTATATCGCCAATATTTGGGACCTAGAAATTGGCACGCATATAATAATGTATTATATGAATGTATATAAACTGATTTACATTCAATCGTTTCCGTTTTTACTCTAACTTGAAATCAGTTATGTTCAGCGAAATACGCGAGAAGTTTCACTCCAATGGAAATCTCTAGTGTCTGGTTATTCCAGTGTACACAGGTAGTATTTATTGCACATGCTCTCCAGATAAGAATATGTCGTCACCGTTTGAAATGACTTGTGGAATATGTCTAGCTAAAACGCATTCTGGTACAAGATTCGTCTACCAATGGTAAAATATTTATTTTGTCTTACATATTGGATACCAGAAGCCCATCTTTTCCCGGAAAGATCACAGTATCAATGTTGACTTAAATTGACAAATAATTCGTGTTTTCAATGTTGAATTTGTGGATGATATTGAGTTAAAGACTTAGCTAATTTAAATAACCAAAACAAACCCAAACATTACAACTTCGTAAATCATTCTTTATAATCTAATTTTATCGATAATGAAAGGACCGCGTAAAATATTAGAAACAATTCAAACAGTGTATATTTCCTCAAACTTCTACAGAAACGACAAGATTAAAACATTATTATTTTACAAATACATGTAAATCGAAAGACCATAAAATGTTGCAAAGTCTTATGACGTGACTTGCAATTTATTACTACGCAATACAAATGGCGTTGCATATAAACAAACTAAATAGACGTGGTGTGTGACTATTAAATAGGTTACACATGTGTCAAATTAAAAAAAAAATGATATACGTGAAGTGTCTTTTCTTTTTGCTTACTGTCTATGACAGCCTAATTTTATTTATCTCAGGTTTCGAAAAAAATATCCAGTCCCTTTAAAGTTATAAATGCTACACTACAAAACAACACGTGTTATAATATGAACACTTCCTTTGGTGTTTGTTCTGGTTTATACCACCTTTAACGTACTTTAGGGTTAAAGGTGAAAATTATTTAATTCTCGCATCACGTAACTCATACTGTTACATACACAAATTATCTTACGTGATATTTACTTCTACATGTATCTTCAAATAAAAACACAAAACAAAGGAGGACCTAATTCAAGACATGTCCTGTTTAATACAATGAACACGAGCTTAAAATAAGTCATTCAAACCCCGTTTTATAATATTAACATAGTTACATGTATTACATCGCCAATGTTTATTGTTACTTTGTTAAAATTTGACGACCAGGTTGATGGTTAGCTGGTACATGTAGTACCACGAGGGAGTCACACCATGCGGAATGAACAAAATATAATACGATCGATCCTAAAGGGCAGCCAAAATTCATAAGTCCATAAACACAAAACAATTTGTGTAAAATTATGCTGACTTCGCAGTGACAATAACAAGTCGTATCAGTTGTTAGTGGGGGGGAGTATGCATACTCTGTATTATGCATGATACCTACCATCCTTATACGTACACCATGAAAGATAAACACGGATAGATTGTCTTTCATAATGTACATGTAGTTTGAGTTTGTGATATTTCAATCTGCCTTCAATCAAATGTTTATATTCTTAGATAAAGCTCGTGTTGAGAATGAATCAACAACATAACGAGCTGAACGCCAAGAATGAAAAAACTTTAGAAAACAAATTGATGAAACGAAAATATCTTAAACAAAACACTAACTGAAATACAGAAGGGTAGAGTGTGGGCGGGGGGGGGGGGGAGTGGTCACTATAGGTCTGTTTTTGCAAGTTATGGATTCGTGCAGGTCTGTCTTTGGCAAGGAGTCGAGTTTCAAGTCAATCTGATTAAAATACAGATCTATATTTCGTTTCGTTTTTTTATAATTTCGATTTCCTACACTACATGAAGATCTGACCAGTTATAGCGATAGCTCACGCCAGGGGTCAAAAGACCAACTTATGACCTTATGACGTCAGATATTTGATTAACCAATCAGCTTTGATGTTACTAGTGAATTACCCACAGTTCCGTAAAAAACACGCCTAAAGTTCGCGGTAACAGACCGTTTCATTGGCTTATCCCTGACACCATTCAGAACACGTGTTAAATAACACCTCTTCCAGATCCAAGTGTAGTAAAGACAAGTAAAACGAAATTTTGAACTATAAAAACGAAACGAAATAGGATCTGTGTTTTAACCAGATTGAGTTTCAAGTCTAATAAGATTTCTCTGGGTACTTCGGGTTCTTCCCAGTCTTAAAGCCCAATGTGCTACAAGCGAGTTATCAAAATAAAACTAAGACCACGTTAATACCGACATGACCCATGACAAATGGATGTTAAGCGCCTTCAAATAATTGGTTATTTATTTCAGTACCTTTATAAAAGGGTATCACCCACCTTTAATAATCCATATCCCACTATTGTTCCTTACTTATTGGTACGTGTATAATCAAAGTGTATGAATTACCCATTGTTGTGTCCTAATACGTACAATAATCGGTCCTGCTCCACCCTATGGGTCCCAGCCATATTTATTTTAACACCCCTTTATCTTAATCTATGAATTATTCAAGGTGATGTTGCATAACCAAATATAGTATTTATTTTCATGCGCAGAGTGATAATCAAATAACTGATGAGGTTAGTATCATTTTTCTTCATCTTTTGAGATACCCGTCAAAAAACATGGCTTACTGTGCCTTTAAAGTCTTTACTGCTTCGAATTACCCCGAACATGTTCAAGTTAGACTGTATGCAAACATTGGAACGACTGCACTGGGATACTAACGTTTTGCCCTGCACTATATGATTATAGTGAGATTACACTATTTTGCTTGAATACACTATTTTGCCTATAACGTTTTTTAGGACTTCGAATTCTGTCTTATGGTTTGGATTGTTCGTACTTGGTTTTATTTTATGATATTATTAAAATTTAATTTCATTAATTGTCTTGGTGCGAGTGATAATACCTCTTTAACTTGCCAATTATTCATTGACAATGGCCATACAATGTTGTTTCATTATAGGAATTCTAGTGGGCGTGAAGACATGATTGTTCTACAAAGATAGCCAAGAACGGTAGACCGGCTGAAAATCAATATGAGGACTTTAGAAATATGTCAATACAGACATTTTCTATGAGCGATGATTAACAAGGCACATATCTCAACTCAAACTACATACATGGTATAAATTAACCTTTGGAAAACGGGTTTTCCAGAAATATGTTTGTTCTAAAAAGAATTTAGTGTCTGAATGTTTAAAAGGGCGTCAATTTCGTATTTTGTACATAATTATGTTTGAAAATGATTCACGGTGAATAAAATGCTTATATTACCAACAGTACCGATTTAGAATTTTATTAGTCACGTTACACTATGAGATCCGCAATATCAGGTTGTGGTTATTTCTGGGAAGTAGTTCTGAAACAATATAATTCTATGTCACCGTGCCATTTACCAGGATTACTTCCAACCATGCGTCTTTTTGTCGAAGATTCGATGAGATGTTTTATCGCCAATATTTACATGATCGGTTCACACCATGCGTCATTTCATGCCAGATTCGTTTGGATGTTTTATTGCCTATGTTTACAGGACCGGTTCACACAACGCTTCTTTTATTTCGAAATTCGATGGAATGTTTTACCGTTTATATTTTATAAGATGTCAAAAACAATCCTCTGTTATATCTGAAAAATAGCTAATATTTAGTCCAAACGTTTTAAACTTTTACATTGCTAACCAGCGGTTGCCCGGCAACCACATTTTTCGTACAATCGGGGTCCATAATCCATGAAGTTATGGTCTGAAATGCGCGAATATCGAAAGGGATCGAGATCTTTGGGATATAAACATATTTTTTAAGCTTCATCCAAATCGAACAAACAGTGTAGCCTCTAGCGGGTCCACAGCCTTGGTATTACATACTATTATTACACTATTTACCATCAAGCAGCGGTCTTTTGTCGGGCAGTTTCGGTCCGAATTTTACGACATTCGAACTGCATCATTTAAAACGATGATTTAAACGATTTTTAAAATCGTATAACAATTGTGACCTCTAGAGGGTCCACAAGCAAAAAAAAGTGACTTTTAGTACAGTCAGGGACCATGACCCATGAAGTTACGATCCGATACGTGTGCCAATATCGAAACGAACCGAGATCTGTGGGAGATAAACCTATATTTCAAGTTTCGTCAAAATAGGATAAAAATTGTGACCTGTCGAGTGTCCATAAGCATTTACCGAAACTAGTTAAGCAGCCCAATGTTAGTTTAAATATTATTTTAATAAGAATAAAGTGGTAAGTATTTGGATAAAATTTGACCACGGTTTTGGTAGGTTTGGCGAAGATGATTTTTGGCTGTTTTGGTTTACGACCGTTTTGACCATAACCAGTGTTTATCTTCTACCGAGGAATCTGGGATTATATTCCGTTTAGAGATCCCGTAGTTCACAATATTATAGTTTATATGAGATAAGCAAACCCCCAAATGACGTTGAGAGACTTAAAGCTGGTGGCGTTTTAATTCGTTACGTGTACAGGTTCGTTGTAATCATTAACTTTAATTTATAACAGAGGCTAAATGCGGATTACTGCTTATTTACATTACATACTGTACGAATAATCCAGCTAAATACAGGTCGTCATCAGGTCAAAATTTAAGGCGCAATAAACGTTTCTTGATACCCTTGGTTTTTAATGCTGTGTGTTCCTTATGTTCAGGGATAAAAAGAAAAGAAGCTACAATACATTTAACTTCCCATTAAAGTCGATAAAAGGATGAGAAATTGGCACCGTTAATTGAAATTATCTAATTTCAAATGATTTAGTGTACATTTTATAAAATATCTTCGGCTTAATTATAACTTTAGTGTTTCATGACTGAAAGTCATACGTAAAACCAAAAGATTAAAGCTGGATTTCCTTTCGTACGGATCCGTTCCGACTCCGATCCGGGAGTAGACATAGCACACGGCCGGTTGTGTATCCTTATATGCGGTTATTCAAGCGGAAGGGCCCTCTTTTCAACATGGCACCGGCATTGTCAAGGTTCGTGAAAGAAGAAAAAAAACTATTTTTAGATTTTTCCCGTGCGGGCTACCCAAACTGTGTTACCTTATGTGCGTTTACGGACACGGTTCCGCATGCGTTTCCGTACCGAACGCTACATGGTCCGTTTCGGACGCCGCATACAGAACCGTATCCGCACCCGCATATAAGGAAACACTCTTACTAAATTTCTATGAAAGTGGTTTTTTTCCGTATCCGCAACCGGACCGGATCCGTACTTAAGGAAATGCAGCTTTACCCATGCGTTTTTTTTTCGGTGAATACGACAATTTCTTTTGTCAAATAAATTAATGATTTGGATGGGTTTCTCGTGATATGTCTTTTTGTCCAACCTAGATTTTATTAATGATTAATGGCAGAATTCCAAACTACACCCAATTATATTACTTAGATCCTTGAATGAATTACAACAATGCTTTGACGTAAACATAATGCAATATTACTACGTGGACCAAGCAGGGCAGGGCTGATTATTATTGTTAAACAGAGTTTATAACACCGTGCTCTCAACTGAATCGCACTTCAAAGTATACATATTTTGTTGAAATTGAATGAATGAATTGACGGGCCTTTAAATACTTATGTGGGTAGACGATATCACTACAGAAATGCATTTGACCGAATTAAGGAGCGGCCTAAACCACTTCAATGTGCCTAATAAATGCTTATCCAGTTTTGATATGGGATATTACTAAATTTAGTTACTTATGCAATTATTGAAAACTTAGCCGATTGCATGTATTATACCATAACCTAGCATAATTTATTATCCACCCAGCACTACATGAGCTCATAAATTTTGAAATTTAAATTAAAAAAAAAAATGCAAATCTTACCCATGAATTATGGCTATTAATCCATTGTCGCAAATCATTATCACAATATGTTGCTACCCAGTCTACGATATTGTCCACTACGCGCGGCATATTTTTTTCAACACACTGGACACAAATAGAGCCACCGAATGCAAACAAAGCCACAATCCTACCCCAGTTGACGCCATCGATAAATAATTCATTGACAACAGCTTTAAACGTTTGATAAGCAATATCAGGAGTAATATCTAGTTGGTTCACCATGTCATCAAATTGATTTCTATAACGATCTTCAAATTCATCTCCAAGGCTTCTCATAGTTGAACATATTTTGCTCGGACCACCCTCGATCACGGGTCCATTAATCCAGCGATAACCATTTTTACTCAGTCTATAGCTAACGTAATCCTCCACAATATGCCTAGACATTTCGCCGTTCATTTTACCCAATTCCTTTCCCCTCTTCTGTAGAAATTCAAGTCATTTTACTTTCGAGAAACAAGCGAACACGACGTCCTTGTTGATCAAATAATTAGAATAGCTCTCTCTTTAGATGACGGCCATACTTGATGTCAAAGGTGAAAGGTGAAGGTCGTGGAGATTTGTTTAACCAGTCCGTGTATTGTATTGACGCTCTAATATAGTAACAATCCTGGTGGACCGTGAATACGCGAAGTAGCGTTATCTGCTGTGTGTAGTGTGTGTAGACTGTAGTCAGAAAATTTAATAAACACTTTGTGTAGCAGTCGACAGATTCGCCAGAAATAACAAGCCAGCGATATTTATATTGATGGCGAAACGCCAAGATATTTCAACGATTGGGTTAAGCCATGTGGGGGTCAAATACTTCATTAGCCATAGATTTATCGATAAAGCGGCACATATGCTATGCTTATCTATCATCATCACACATTTCTATCAATTAGTACCATGTAAAGTCTGTTACTCTGTAATGACAATAGTTTATTATTAGGATCTATGAATTAAATATACGGAACTAAATTCTACGTCTGGGTCAATGCAGTATGTCCTTTTCTAAATCATTATATATATAGTTCCACAAAATGTCATACAGTACTGGGACTACAATTACTATTTGTCACGGGGTTATATGTATTAAAATCCGTGACCGCATTCTAAGCCGAACAATACTACGCAATTGTAATTAGTAGATTAATAAACAAATATCAAACAATCTTTTAAATCTAAATGAATAGACACTGATGAATAAATAAATAGCAGAAAAAATCTTTAATAAATAGCTGAGCAATATTAGCTTTAGCTTACACATATTGTCTGTTTGATAACCATATAGACTGATTGTCTCTTGTCGTTCGGATGGGACAATAAAACGAGGTTTACCCGTGTACACATTTGCGTATATGTAAAAGAGACATTGACAGCTAGAATTTAAAGAAAAGTAGACGGTAGCGTCCTTGTCGGAACAAAATTCTGCTCCCTAGTATAGCACGCATAACTTTACAAAAGAAAATAACCACACTTTAGTCTCAAAATGGTCGAATTCTTAAACCTAACCTACAATCCCGCAAACAATCAAGTGCCCTAACCGTATTTATATCTCAGCGACCTTGTAGATGGAGCATTTAAATGCAATTTAAACGAGATTGATATCATAAATCCTATACCAAGGTACATTTAAATTCTTGGAACGAAATTTGCAAGCATACCTGACATTCGACTTTCTTGGCAAATAAACTTTATAATATAAACTGAGAATTTATTTTTTAAAATGATTCTATTCAGGCACGTGTGATATTGGAGAGAATTTAACCTTAGAATTAGAACTTTTATAAACAAATCGGAAATATCGATCATTTTAGTAGAAGACTTCCGAACAATAGCAAACTTCTTTTCGTATCATCGTCATGAGTTTCAACATCCTTGAAATAAACACATACTCGGTAAATTACTGAAAGCGGAACACGGATGTCTGTTCAAATTCATCTCATATAATAATATTTCACAATGAATGACATTTAGATCCGACATCCCATGACGATTCTTTTTATACTATGGTTATGACACAAACGGAATAATGAATAAGCTTGTTCAGTAAGGCTGAACAAGAGGGTATTTTGGAAAATAATCGGATTATTAGGCAATTTAATACGAACCGAATATCTGTCGATTATTCATAAATATGTTCAATGTCATTGTCTGTTTTTAGTATTCCCATTGAAATGTATTTCCTCTATATAATCAAGATACAAAATACATAACATTCAATTGGAAAATACATTTAAATGAAATGGAATGCGGTTTAACGTCGTACTGTTCTGCTTCGACTTGGCAGATGAAGACGGGCATACGCCATACAGTGTGCTATCGGGGACATTTTGCCGGACAGCGGCATTACGACCTTCTTTTGTATCGAATTCCAACTGTCAAGGGTTCTTTTACGTGCACCCCATGTACACCGACTACACGTTAACCCTTGCCAGAATTTTCGTCCTGCACCACTGACAACGAGAACCACGCCGGGAAGTCCCAATGAACTTTTTCGGTCAACACATGGATTGAACACGGGACCTCCAAGTTAGCGTGCCAACGTCTTACTCACTGAGTCACCGCAGTTCCCCGGAAAATGAATTTAAACTGGCTGGATTAAACGTTGTGTTGCCATTATCTTTTTACTTGAATTGATGCGTGTGGAATTAAGGCGATGTATTGATTAACAACGTGAGAGTAACTACTCGCGCTAAAATAGTTTACTCTGACCTGCATATACAATTTGGGTTCATAATTTGATTTTTTTTTTTTTTTTTTTTTGAGAGAAAAAAGTAGGTTCTGTTGGTAGCAAAGGTAGGTCAAAACGCCGCTGTCGGGACAAAATCCCCCCCCCCCCCAATGCAATTTGGGTTCATTATTTGAATTTTTGTTAATTGAGAGAAGAAATGTTTTTTAAGAAAAAGAGTTCTGTTGGCAACAAAGGTACAGGCGTAAACGCCGCTGTCGGGACAAAATTTCCCTCCAAGACACACTGCGTGGCCTATCCCCTTCTTCATTAACCCATTGTAGGACGTGAAATACAAAACTGCGGTCGATAGTTCATCACGAAATAAGTTGAAGAAATAAGCACACTTTTATTAAGGTAAACAAATGAAAAGAAAAAAATTTTAATCGTATCAACTTGGCCAAAGCTAAAGAAGTGGTGACCTTTTTAAAAAGTATTTATTCAATGTATGTATATATTTCATTCACATCTTCTTTGAAATTATCCTGTTATTAAACTATATTTTTTTTGTAAATAATAAATTATTTTTTTAATTGTTTGATATGGCAATCAAAGAGACTATTTTAAACCGCCCATTCATGAAATAATTAAGGGCAATGTGCTTATTAAAAATTCAAAAACACAGAAGACAATCAGGTAGTTTATAGAAAACATTTTAGCAATGGTTGATTACAGTAGCAAATCCTATCTTTATCATGATTGTTTGCTTGACTGCGGATCGATTGGGGCTCGACTTTGCAGTATGGATCGTGGGAACTATGCCCATTAGTCCACTTGGTGATATAATATCGATTTTAATAACGTGGGCGTAGAAAGATAAACTACATTTTATCACGTGCAGGAAAAAATCGAGATAACAAATAAATGTTGAGACACCTGGCTGAAAATTATGAAAGGGAGATAACTATCTTAAATTTAAAGTAAATTCAGACTGCGAAATAATCTCATATTGACTTAAATGTTCATTCTTGACTCTAATTTATTCCCATATTTTCGTTGGACTAAATTCTCTCATATGACTTGCTACAAAGCTTGTATGCGATTGACCATTGAAGGTTTGAGATACATAAATGTGAATTAGTATACAAGTAAACATGTGGTGGACTATACATAACATAAAGTAAGTGGTAGAAGTTTGTCGCAACTGTGAAATGTGAAAAAAATAATTACGAGAGAAACCATGAAGTGAAACGATATTGAGTGACTATATATGAAAACTTTAGAACTGCTGATATATCGGATGTAAAGAGACCCCTTTCTTCTGTTAACTATTTACCATAATCTTTGATTGATGTGGTCTAATTGCTTGCAAATCACTAAAAAGTCTACAATGGTGAAACAAGTCGATGAAATGGAAATTATCTTTCTTTCCTGCGATAGTATTTACTTGAAATAAGTTAGATCTCGACTTAATACTGAAGAAAATAAATACTTTATACAGAGCTATGTATTACAGATCACAGTTTGATCTATAAACAGGGTGCATTAGAGTGAACACAGCAATATATAATTCAAAATAAAAACTACACTAAATCGTAAAATAAACATTTATCTTTCGAAATTAACATATTATAGCTTTTCCCTCTGATTTTATATGGAAGCGTATTTGGGTCACTACTTATTGAGATAATATCGCAACACATCGAACTAAAATATGTCAACTTCATGAGTTATATTACAAAAAATCGACTTAATAAATCGACTCGACGCATTAAATTTACCTCTAAACGACAAAAACTATGTCGATATGTTTACATCATGCCAATAGTCGATTTGACTCTAAATCAACAAGTCATATTTTAATGCAATACATAGACTTAATAATGTCGCCGTTTTCAGTTATGTACCACGTGGTTAATTTCATTGCCCGAGATTGCTTATTCATGAAAGTGCAGCCAATGATGGGGTTTAACGTCCACTCGACACAAACTAGGTCATTTCGGGACTAACATATGTTTTAATTTTAGGGGTCTTTAACAGTGGGAGGAAACCGGGGGACCCGGAGAAAACCCACTATGTTGGACAGGCAACCTTACTCCTTGTCACGTACAACCGGGGATTCGAAACCACGCCAGTTGGCTCAATGACAGGCCTTATGATACAGTGCGCACGTGCTAAACATTAGCGAGTATTGATGTTTGCTCCTGATGCATCAACACGTACAATTTTACTTGATATCAGTACTAACAAACATTGCGGTTTTATTAGGTGGTCGTTCCCGTTAAGCGGTCAGTCATGCAAACCCCTTGAGTCTACTGTACTCAGGAGAAATTTGATTGGACATTACAATAGACACACTTCGTCAAAACCCCAAGATTTTGCTATCAGTACATTGCTTCAGGAATATGGTAAAAGTCACAACATTGTTAACTCTATTGTTCGTCCAAATAGTATTTAATCTTGACAGTTCACAAGGTTCAGACTAGTAGTATTGACAAGGACAAAGCCGATACTAAAAATAGCACAAATATGTCCATATTGAACTGCAATGTTCTATCCAAAAACATGATAATCCAAAATTTCTCCTAAAAATCTCCCCGCGTTTTCACACAGTAATCACGTAGTTCTTAGTTACACTATACACAAGTTTCAAATATCATATTTGAAGAAATCAGAGCAAAATAACCCAGTTGTAGCCACACATGGCAAAAAAACTCTTTTGGTGCTTGGAACAGCAATAAGTGTTGATAGTAAGTCTTTTAGGATTATATACAAATTACCACCCTCAAAGAAAAAAATAACAAACAATTCTTTTCACCGATGAATTTTCAGCTATGGTAGATATAATTGACAAGAAAGGGGAGAATTCTACAATTATTGTCGGAGATTTTAATATCCATTATGGGGGTGATGGTGGGGGGGGGGGTGGCCGAATGGTTAGCACGTGCGCACTGTATCATAAGGCCTGTCATTGAGTCAACTGGCGTGGTTTCGAATCCCCGGTTGTACGTGACAAGGAGTAGGGTTGCCTGTCCAACCTAGTGGGTTTTCTCCGGGTCCTCCGGTTTCCTCCCACTGCTAAAGACCACTACGCGCAAGCGAATTATTGAAATAAAATTGAACCATATGTTAGTCTTGAAATGACCTAGTTTGTGTCGAGTGGACGTTAAACCCCATCATTGACTGCACTTTCATGAATAAGCAATCTCGGGCAATGAAATTAAGCACGTGGTACATAACTGAAAACGGTGACATTATTAAGTCTATATATTGCATTAAAATATGACTTGTTGATTTAGAGTCAAATCGACTATCGGCATGATGTAAACATATCGACATAGTTTTTGTCGTTTAGAGGTGAATTTAATGCGTCGAGTCGACTTATTATGTCGATTTTTTGTAATATAACTCATGAAGTTGACATATTTTAGTTCGATGTGTTGCGATATTATCTCAATAAGTAGTGACCCAAATACGCTTCCATAGATTTTATGATCGCAAAATTCTAGATAATTTCATTCAAATGCAGATTATTGCACCACGTTAAAAATCTATGGAGGCCGATATAAGGCGACAACCCGACAACCCGACATCACGACATTTTAACCCGACACCACGACAACCCGACAACCCGATTTCAAAAATGTCGTAATGTCGAGTAAAAATGTCGTATTGTCGGGTTAAAATGTTGTGATGTCGGGTTGTCGCGGTGTCGCGGTGTCGGGTTGTCGTGGTGTCAGGTTTTCAGCCATATTCTTCTCAATACTATGATTATATACGGTTCATTGCAAATTTCCGTCATAGCACTTTGGTCCTTGAGACAATTTTGATTCTTTGGAAAATTGCTGCTTCACTCTGTCTATAGACTCAAATCACACGTACTTAATGAACGTGAATATATAGTTATACATACAAAAAATAGTGATATTTTGGTAAAATCATAACCATTTTCAAGATATCCATCAAATTCTGGTTGTTAATTGACCTATGGTTGGTAGACCAAATAAGGTAAATTCTCCTCCTTTTGAGGTTTATTCCATATTTGGGATGGAAATCAACGTCAAGGTTATCGAAGATCTGCAGAAATTAGGGGGTATAAATTAGAGTGTAGGGTGATTCCTCTTTGACAGTGGTGCAGGTCGGGGGGGGCCTGGCATATTGGCGTGCACGTAGAAGACCCCCGGCAGTTGGAATTTAATATAAGAGTAGGCGGTAGCGCCGCTATCCGGAGCAGAACGAAATGAAATGAAATGGAGTTTAACTTCCTGCACCCCTGACAAGGGGAAACCACGCCGGAAAATATTGATGAACTTTCTCGGCCAACGTCTTACTCACTTAGCCACTGTGGCTCACGGAGCAGGACAGTTGAACGTTAAATCCCATTTCATTTTCCTACTTTTCCGAACCAATCGGACTATTGAAGATAGGCATACGCTATATATGCAGAGTGATATGACGGAAATTTCAAATGGACCGTGGCATTTCTTCATCGAATTTCAACTGTGAAGAATTCTTTTATGCGCACGCCATTGTGTACACAGGAGTTTTTTTTATGTCCTATCTACAATACTAGACACTGTTCTTTGCCATGCCCTTTGTCCTGCACTTCCGACTTGGGGAAACTGCGCTGCAAAATCCCGGGGAACATAATCATATAGTATTGAGAGGAATATGGCCGATAACCCGACATCACGACATCACGACATCCCGACAACTCGACATCACGACATTTTAACCCGACAATACGACATTTTTACGCGACATTACGGCATTTTTAATGTCGTGATGTCAGGTTGACGTAGTGTCGGGTTAAAATGTCGTGATGTCGGGTTGTCGGATTTGTTAGGTTGTCGCCTAATAAAGAGCGCCACCACGACATCCCGACATGATACCAACCAGCCACCATAAAAATCAAATCAGACACTTGAAAAATATGTGGTGTACCAAGCCTATTTTTATACATGTAGTCTAGTAAATATCGATTTAGTGATTAGCATACTAATCAACCGTTAGCCCGGACATCCTAGAGAGTGTACGAATCTACATTATTTTTGAGCGGTGGATATAAATACGAGATATAGATTTTTGTATGTACATGTTCGAACTTAACTCTTCGAATTGAGGATAAATTTATCAAACGGGTATGAAGGTAACTGACTAGGAGTTGTAAATGGTGAAATACAAAGCTATTGAAACAATGTTTTCTTTTTACGCTTTTGAGTATCGAGTGTTTATAAAGGATTATTATGGGGTAGGCGACTCTAATACGAAATAGTCTTTGTCCAGAAGTCTCTCCTCATTCGTCTCTGTAATGAAAAACTAAGATTAGCACCCCCCCCCCCCCACACACACACACTGACATCATTATAGACGAATGTATAAGATCATCTGTTTTATGTAGTTCCTCTATATATAGCAATCACCCCACCCCCTCCCCTCCCCCCTCCCCTTTCCTCCCCTCCCCTACTTATATCATGATAGACGAATGTAGACCATTTATTTTATGTAGTTCCTCTATTATATAGCAATCACCCCCCACCCCCTACTGATATCATGATAGGCGAATGTAGATCATTTATTTTATGTAGTTCCTCTATTTATAGCAATTCTCTCTTTCTCTAAGAACACCCCCCCCCCTCCCCCGGAGCCGCCCAAAATCCCACCTATTTGCATTACCATTTTTGTTGAGATGTTGGTCTTTAATCGAAGAAAAGTGTTTGAATTTAAATTTTCTGTCAAATTTTGATGTGTATTCCTTTTATGACGGAGGGATTAGGAATTAAATTGCATAATAAAATGACATCACTGCCCATAGACTCCTTTGACCAGACTAAGCAAAAGAGCGGTCAACCTTCTTCAATATTATTATGATTGATTATGAGATGTTGGCCACTTTGTGGTTAGAAATATTAAGATCATCGGAATGTTTTAAATGTTATATGCCAAGAAATGTCACTTAAGTCAACTGGGAGGCTACAATAGTTACCTCCCTTACAACAAACACAAATGTACATAATATGCTAAAGGGCAGCAGCATGTTATTAAACTTACGCACCTACTTACTACATTAGGTTGATGTGTGTTCTAAGTTTTTGTGACGAATATGACCAGTCGTTGAGTCAATCCCAGCAATATAAAGACAAAACTAGTTTGTTGTCGAAACACGAAAACAGTTTTATTGTATGCAAATAGACACATGACGTCCTTACTCTAGGTTTCCACTATCACGATTCGCGCTACGATTTATTCGTGGAGTAAACGTGGTGATCCTATCGTGTCTTATCATATATTGTGGTCAGGCGTAGCAATCGTGATGATCGTATAGAAACATACCAGATCGTGGACTCAATAGGGACAATTCTATCGTAACGCATCGCACAACAGTGGGAACCTGGCATTAAATGTAACAAATATCTGGAATATATACAGTATATTATTCATCTTATAAATATCTAGAATGTTCACAATATTTGACATAATAAAAACATATGCTGGGGCAAAAATGTGAAAATAGTGTTATCATACTAACGTAGTTATAAGAAATCTTTAGATCTAACCACAATATCGCGAATACAAGACTAAGCGAAACGGTATATTATAAACACACAGTATGTTTAAATGGGGAGTTTGTACCTTATTTGACACGCATACACCTTTTATAGACTATACAATATACAATAAAAATAACCCAGGCCACAATACTCAAATTTATTAATTATCACGGTAATTTGTGTATGTAAGTATGTATATAATAATTGGTTAAATATTGTCATGTTTGTACTCTCAGCATTAAAAAATATAATGTAAAAAATAACGATACCTGTTTGTCTATAATTTTTTGTTATTGAAAATAATATCGACAAAAAACTATTATTTTTTTTGTGTAATCAGAAGTGAACGTGAAAAGGGGCAGTTCCAGTTTAACAGTTTAAGCGTTAATAAAAGCGATTTTAAGTATACGAATTAAATACCAAAATGTGACATTTCAGGACTATAATGGAAGAAAGATTCAACTTTAAATACTAAGCAGTCGAGAAACTCATTTAAGGAATTCCCTCTTTGGTCAGTATGCCAACATGGAAACTGAAATTAACTTGTTTGTTATGCTAGGATCCCACTATCACGATTCGCACTACGATTGAAATCATGATTTGATTCGTGGAGTAATCCTGGTGATCCTATTGGGTCTTACCATATTTTGTAGACAGTCGTAGCAAACTTGTTGATTGTATCGAAACGTATCCGAATGTATCTGCACGTACCAGGTCGTGGACACAATAGAGACAATCCTATCATAAGGCATCGCACGACAGGTGGAACCTAGCATTAAATAAAATATGTTTTGGGCAATCACGTTTAGTAGGCCGTTTAGTGGGGTAGATATGTTTATGGTTATTTCGATCTAACGTTAATTGAAATAAAGGGACTGCAATGATTAAACGCTAATTGAAATAACGAGAATGCATTGATTTAACACTAATTAAAATAACGAGAATGCATTGATTTAACACTAATTGAAATAACGAGAATGCAATGATTTAACGCTAATTAAAATAACGAGACTGCAATGATTTAACACTAATTGAAATATCGAGACTGCATTGATTTAACGCTAATTAAAATAACGAGACTGCAATGATTTAACGCTAATTAAAATATACATGATATTGAAATATGGTTTTCAATACATAAATTATTCAAATATACACTAGACAGAGAGACAGAATAGATCAGAATAGAAAGAAAAGGAAAGAAAAAGAAAGGGAAAAACAAAGAGAAATATAAAGGAGGGAAGAAAAAAAGCAGTGGTAGAAAGAAATGTATGTAATAAAGTAGAAAATAAAAATATATGAGAAGAAGCAAAGCAAAGAAAAAGAAGAAAAGAACAGAAGAATAGAAGGAAAATAGAAAGCAAAAGAAAGGAGATGATCCACGATAGATAAAGACGACATCAACAATTAAAAAAATTGTAGATACTTTTAATTTTGGCATCCAAATATAAACAAATATAACAGATTAACGCATTCTTTTATTATTTGTAAATAAACAAATTAAACCTATTTATTAAAGCATCGCCATTTTGCAGTTTGCGAAAGCCATACTGACAGATTAAGCATTGTTGGCACCACTAAGACAATGTTTACTTAAGAGTGGAAGTTTTCTAAAGTTGTAATGATTATGTATCGTTTGTTAGCCAGTAGAACAGACAATGGGGAAATGGAAAGATAGCAGAAAAATTAAATGGAAGGTGGAAAGAAAAAACCCCAGGTAGTTATATAAAGAAATATAAAGAAATAAAAACTAGAAAAAGAGGATAGGAATGGTGCAATAAATAAATAAAGTGAAGAAAGGGACACAGGAATAAAGAGGGTGAAAGAAAAGTGCAAATCTCGGGGAGGAAAGATACATAATATGAAAATATTGAGAAAGAAAAAAGCGATAGAAAGGATAGATAACTGAGAATTAAAGATATCGATGATATAATATTAAATGGAGATTTCTTTAGGGCTTATAATGGTATCAATATTGGCCCTTATGAGAAAGAGAATACACACAAAGTATAACTAATTGAGATTTGGTCCTGTTTCTTATTAAGAACAAGATCGAAAGAGCTTCTAAATCAATTAATTGGTAGTGCAATATGAGGGTAAGATAGACCAGAATGATAGACGAGAGAGGAGACAAAGACAATATGATAGGGGTAGGGAGAGCTGCGGAACAAAACAGAAAAAAATGAAGGAGGGAGAGCGGGGAGAAAGAAAAAAAAACAGAAACACAACATATAAAGTCGTAAACAAACGTTAAAGGAGGGAAAAGACAATTTTTTTAAATTTGAAATTGAGAATTTTATAATTGGAAGATGTTATGGTGGGGGTCGTAGAAGAAAGAAGAGGACAGGAGAAACAAAAAAAATCCTATTATGTAGTTCAAACTCCCAGAAACAAATAAAATAGGAGATAAATTCCATTTAAATCACATGTGAAATACTCATCATACTAAACCTTAACGATGAATTGTGTAAAAGTTAGATGTAGATAATAGTTAAAAACTAGATAACGAAAAGGGAATATATATTGAAAATTTCAGTCAAATTACTTCAATTGTCATTAACCGCCAATCTTGTTTAAATCCGATGAAAATCTAAAGCATCAGATGGCATCGAAAGTTGATCATGGTTTTGGCTAGTTAATAAATGTCAAATTAATAATTTTGTATAGCATTTAAGGCCAAATAAAGACCTGCAATAGACAGATTTAGCTCTTGCATAATGCATCTATTAACTAACACATTCTGAATTTTTCGTATATAGAAGTAAAATAAATAAAATCAACTTGAATGTAAATTTATTGATGAAATGTCCATTAGCTTTTGTTTATCTTTATTCAGTTAAGATAAACAAAAAACTAAATACTACCCCCCCCCCCCCGCTCCCACCAACCAACCAACCAAACTCTAAACAATTTCCTTTTTCTTGAGTATGTGAATTATACTATACAAATGCCTTCTTTACAATTTATTTAAACAAAACCCAAAGAAGATTGCAACGAACAGAATAATATAGACCACAGAACATAAGTAGTTATATAAAACATAAAGATTTCATGGATTATGGATTTGTATAAAAATGAAACCAGGAAGAAATACTTTTACACAGATTTTTATACAAAAAGTCAAGGTCTTGAAACCATATTTTCTTTTTAATCAGAACTTCCGTACTTTAAGCAGATAAAAAAAAATGTCCACAGATAATAACCGAAATTATCATCATCTTTGAATTATTATGGGAAAGGAAGTAGTCTTATTTTAAAGAATTATGATAAATCTATAAGATCTAACTGTTGTCATTTCCCTTTTGAAATTTATTTTCAAGGATAAAAATCACGCCCGATTACATTAATCGCCTAAATATTACAACACAGTTTCGTACATTTTTCATTTCTGGAGATATATTCTATCGACAGTTTCGTATTTATCTTACTTATGAGGATAACGTTTTTATTACGAAAAGTCAACTCATAAAACATATGTAATTGTTTGAATCAGTTGGTTGACCTTATACATAAGTCAAACGGATTTATAATGTTTTGTTTTTAAAAAAGGATTTTCTCCATTTTATTAAATTTGGTATTTCCAGATCCGTCACCATCAATTCATTTGATTTTTCTTAATCTTTTTTGTTTCTTCCACAAACCCACATTTTCCTCTCATCACCGAAAAGATATCTAGCAAACCATTGTAAAATATAATTTATCCTACATACAGTTAATCCAAACACTTGAATTATAAGCGTGAACCCATATAGGGCCCCACTGATAACACCATAAACATTTAATCGAGACAACGGCGTATCAACACCCATATAGAAGAAAGACAGAAGGGCTAACCACAGAGCGTTCACAACCAACAAGCCAGTTAAGCTTCTGTTACGTAAAGATCGTAAGCGGTCGGCCAATTCCGCCTTCTCTAATCCAATATTCGTGTCGTTTCCGAGCAGTCGTCGTCGTAAATCGTCCCAAAAGATATTTTCTGTTTGGTCGTCTTCATTACCTTCAGTGATATCTCGTGTGTTAGCTTTAACTCCCTCGGTTATACCATCATACGATTCTAAAACAGACAAAAAAAGACAGTTTTTAATTTTTAAAAAAATAAATAAATAAAAAAAACACCCCAAAAACACCCAGACACGTCTTATATTTGAGAAAATCACATAGCTAACAAGCTTTTGTCTCAAGCCTTCGTTTTTGTCATTTAATTAGGTTGAGAAGCGATCGTCTTTCTCTTAATCTGCACTAGCCATTGATGCTTTCCTGTCTGAGGTTAGTTAAAGGGAAGTTGCTTTGAAATCAGAACACATTGCTACCATATTTGATTTACCTTTATTTTCTTCTTTTCCTTTCTTATTTTTTCGTCTTTTTTTCAAACCTCCAAAACATGACAATTTTGGTATCTTTGCCTTCGTCTGAAAAAGAACAAACATTCAGATATAAGCTAAATCATATACTGCAAGGTATGTTTAAAAAGGAAAACAGAACGACCAGCCTATAAAGAAAGAACCAACAATGTCACTGCCATTACAATGGGTTTATTTCACGAGTAGTTAATGATCAAATAAATTTAACATTGATGTTCTTTGTTACTTTGAGTGAGCATTCGATGCGCTAATATCAAACCTTCCAAAGAACTTACCGAATCTCTTGTTCCCCAGCTTTGGTCAATAATGTTGGCAATACTGTAGATTGGAAGAAGCACGTGCATAGCGGGAAATATAAACAAATAGGCAAACCCATAGACTATCTGGTAACTCTCACGTGGATGTACGAGAGCAGCATAAACCAAACTGGCTGTTAGCATCAATATGACGTAATGTTGCTGAAACCGGAAGTGACCAACAAGAACCTCTGAAAATACATAACACTCAAATGAAATGATAAAATTTCAGAAGGCACAGTAAACTTTATGTCACCCCAAATTGAAGAAACAATCACAGAAGAAATTAGATATTTGATTAAAACTATATTAAGCATTCATATACTATGTAAAGATAAAAGTATTATATTGACCGCAACCTGTGTAAAACAATTCAGTGCATAATGCACGGGCCGTATACACAGAGGATTATGCCAAGGCAGCGTTACATCAAACAGACATGCACTTCGGAGATGACTACAAGACAGATCTACCTTGTTTATATGTTATGGCACAACTTACCTGATACCATAGAAGCTACGATCTTGTATGATCCCCACACAGCTACAGAAACAAAAACACTCCCCATCAACACAGTAAGTACTGACGTCAGCTTGGTCTGTGTACTCGTGCTAGTCCGGGTGCAGATTATTGCGTAAATAAAAACAATGGCGGCCATTGGAGCGGTAGTAGTGATGTAAGGCACATCAAATACTAATTCCAGACCAGCAGTAATCATGACTATAGCCGTACCAGGAGTGATGACGTTGTTGATAAACATATTTAGTAAGTAGGAAACATAAACAAAAGTGAAACAATCGTTGTTCCGAATCAAGGAGATCATGTTTTGGACAACTAAAAGGGCGTTTGCGATATCCGAAAGAATCCATCTACGTCTTTGTTTGAAAAATTCCTCAAAAGTGTCCGGGCAGTATGTCGTGTTGTCAGCGAAAGCTGAGAAACGCAGTCGCCATCCGTGGATCATCATTAAGGTTGCCATCCATCTATCCTCACCTAAGGAAATCAAGTAACTTCAACTTAATATAATGTAGGTGTATTAATACTAATGATAATAAGAGTAAGTAGTTGGCGCAAAGCTTCCTTCTTAAATATCATGCCGACTTACATTTCAAATAATTTACTAGGAAGAGGAGAGTCGCCTTTTTGTATACATTTCAAAATGTCAAATGTTTAAAGATGTAGGTTGTCAGACTTCGAAACACGAAACATTTAAAAAGGGGCAGATCATTAGTGAAGCCTCCAGAGTGCTAACGAAATTTTGAACAGAGGGAAACAGCTTTAAAAGATGTTATCAATGCGATAAACAACTCATAACAATATACACATGGGTTATAATGGCCATAACAAGACATAGTCATAAGAAAACTGAACAACGTTTCGGCAATATACGACCACATTAAAATGTGGGCGTTTAGAAAATTCACATTAACATTCTTACCAGTATCCTTAACGTAAACTGTAAACGGAGTGAGTGTTGGACTGGCATACTCGTCCATAACCTGTTTGATGGCACTGGATCTATACAAACTAAAACATCCCGGAGCACACATCACAGAACCGATAACATTCTGGGCATTCTTTATCATCCAAAAATCTAAAATTAGCCATATTTTTTTTTTTTTTAAGAAAATTTAAAAAATATATCTGCACCTTAAGCCTTGTAATTAAAAATACAAAGCTTTTACACTAGAGAAATGCTAGTTATTAATTTTGCAGAAGCCGTCGATTATCGAAAGATAACTAGAACTGACTAAACGCTTATATATATATGTATGAAAATTTAAAGATAACTACAAAAATATAAACGATTTTTAAAATGATGTACGTTATTTGTCGATTACTAGCACTTTCGCTTATTTTAATAAGCTCTTCGTGTAAACAACATTTAGATTATAATAATATTTACAAACTAGTAGGTAATTACCTTTAGCGTATTCAAATATTTGATGCCACACAATGGAACTGCAATTCTTGCCGACTGGATGAGTTCGCCCACAAGCGCCACCAAGACGGTGATCACTATTGCACATGTGTAACAATTCTAAGACTGCATCATCTTCGAAGTCCATATCAGCATCGGTTGCTAGGATATAAGTATGATCATCGTCGACTTCAGTATCCATTTCAATTGAAACGTCATATCGTTTAGCCGCTGACGATGACCAAGGGTCGCATTCGCCATATTTTTTCAACTGTTTTTGGAAAGCGTATCTTTCAGACTTTGCTTCAGCTTGGACTGGACTTTCATCGGCTTCATCATAAAGATAACCGATGTTGACGACACCGGGATAATGATCAACTGCAGCAGCCTCGGCCTCAATAGAAGACGTCGAACTGTCCGTTTCTTTTACAGAATCGGTTTCTAAAATAACAGCCGAGCTGCAATGACTTAGTGCAGGAGTTGTGTCCCGTGATACGAATCCTTGATCGTCATCAACAAAGCCTCGGTTGTATTCGGGATATGGCGAGTAATCAATAGTTTCTATTTTATCATCTATATTCTTTACCGTATATTTCCCAGATTTAACTTTGTCAGCTTCTATCCTCGGCGTGGTGCTGCTGCTGTACCTCCCGCCATTGGCCATTACGCTTTTATATTTTAAAACGTAGTTGATGTACATGCACTGACTCCAACGTTTTTTAGGTTTAACTTTTACTGGATCTTTAAGATGCATGAACAGGGGCATGCCTCCATCTAGAATACACCGAAGCTGCATCCCATAAGGTGTCTCAAAACATTGCGACTCTTCAAGGTTCATACTAAACTTGGTTACCAGCAGGCTGACCAGCTGTTGGGCAAACTCTTTCACATCACGACCGCTACAACCATTATCCATAAAAATGTTTGCCTCAAGTAGGCAGTTCTCATCTTTGATTTTCTGTGATTGGGATAAACCTTGCAGACTGTAAAGAAGACGTTCCATTTCGTAATCAGCTTCTCGATACATCGTGGTGCACACATAAATCCTGCTCTTTCGGGTAGCATTTTCGGTAGTTTCTTCAGCGACTCTGTTAAACCCGTCATGTTTGTAGGACAGGAGTATCTTTTGGTCAAAGAAAATACTATTCCATCCGTAAGATAAAAACAATGTTTCGTAAGGTACGTATAGGAATTTTGGTTTTCTTATTAACTCCGATGTTTTTAGGAAGTAAGGTATGGTCCAAGATAAGGCTGAGACGAAAGTTGCAATGAGAAGTGGAGTCAGGTCACCAAAATCCCTGAGCTCATCCACGTGGTAAAGGATAGGTGACAGAACAGTAACGCATAGAGCTATACTTGTTGGAGTTGATAGAAGCATGGGCACGACAACTCCTAACACTGGTATACAATATGCTATTCCAAGATATGCAAACCCGTGTGCCACTATTCCTGCCAACATATTACAAGACAGTGGAATCATTACTTTCCAAGTGAAAACATCGGTCCAATTGGCACTGAAATTGTTCAAGATATCTTCCATCGTTTCGTTAGAACCGCGTTTGGCGTAAATTTCTAAAGTTAAAAATAATAGTATTCCGATGACCTTGAGAGTTCCATACAAGATGTGAACTCGTTTCTGACTGCCAGATAATGTATCCGTTGTCATCAGAATTCGTATTTGAATCCATGGTGACCAAACTGTTGCTAAGCCAACCAAGGAAAGGCCCATGATTAATGCCTGTAACCAGTTAATGTGAGAGTAAAGGTATAAAACAAGTGCAGCAACGGTGGGACCAACAGTGGCAATAACACCTCCTATAGTGTGAAATTTCCCACAGGGCATCTCATCAAAGGCACTTACAGTCTGAAACAAATAAAAATAATCCATTAAATGGTTTTGGGACAAAATGCTTTTCTACGCGAGCATCATCACATCTGATCTTATTTTGAAACGTGAAGAGGATTTTAACACAATATTAAAGGAAAGGGGTAATACTATCTTTTTTTTTAAACACCACATTCAAATCTTACCTTGGTTCGGCATCCGATGAAGTCAGATAAAAGAGACACAGAAAGGACACTACCCACAACCGGAAGCAGTATATAGACAGGTAGTGATGTTGCCACAGACGTGGTAAAACCTACGACCGAAGCACTTTCAATAAAGGCAGCAACAATTCCCTGAAAAAGAATAAAATACATTACCGGTATTGTAAAAAAAGATTTTACCTGACCTTTCCTTTTTATATAGCTAAGTTATCAAACGACCAGAAAGCTGCCTCTTTTTTATAGGTTTTCAATCTTTTTATCAACACCAATAGCCCTCATTACCGATGTATTTATGTTGAAAATATTAATACCGTGTGTAAACTATTCCGTATGCTTTGATGACAATGATGAACATATTATAGTGCACAATAGATATACAAAGGGATTGCAAAACATAAAAAAACATTTATCGATGACCACTCTCAAGTAAACAGTAATACGTATTTATAAATAAGTAAATAATTGAAAACATAAATAAGCATACAAAAATGCACATACACACCATTAGCCAAAACATTTTGTAGATTTCAAGTCAGCTTGCAATGATAGTTTTAACGCCGGGGGCTTGGATGGCCGAATGGTTAGCACGAGCGCGCTGTATCATAAGGCCTGTCATTGAGTCAACTGGCGTGGTTTCGAATCCTCGGTTGTACGTGACAAGGAGTAGGGTCGCCTGTCCAACCTCGTGGGTTTTCTCTTGACCCTCCGGTTTCCCCCCACTGCTAAAGAACCCTACGCGCAAGCGATTTATTGAAATAAAATTAAACCATATGTTAGTCCCGAAATGACCTAGTTTGTGTCGAGTGGACGTTAAACCCCATCTCTCTCTCTCTCTCTCTCTCTCTCTCTCAGTTTTATCGCCGTGATTGGACTCCAGGATGACCTAGCTTGGCGACTGTCCGTATTTGATAATAGTGGTTAAGAGTTTAAGGATGCCATATGTATAGCATACGACGAGTTCTTACCAATAAAAGATTCCGTAATGGAGGGAGCTGGATTTCATCGACTCTTGTAAGGAAAGAGATATTCCATAACATTTGAAACAATGACCAGAGATACGGGAACAGAATGAAAATCCCTACAGCCATATACCTACATAATCAATAAATTAGATATACACTGCATATCATTTAAAAATGTATAATCAATAAATGTTGTCCTTTTGAAACTAAAATTAAATTTAAATAGACGCACACTGCATATTGTTTGAAAATATAACCACTAACCAACTTATAGTAAGGCATTTTAATGAATGTTTTTTCATCTTTCTAAAAACCACAAACAAATATGTACAATTCGTAAATTGATAGTTAAAATGCCTACATATCGGTAGTAATTTGCACACATGTCTTAAGTTTGCATGCATTTTAATTTAAATATTTTTCGTAAATATACAGTCAAATAACGATTTGTTGGTGATCGACTCCTATCTCGAAACTCAGTTCAATTTGATTTCGTGAAAACACAAAATTTATGATTAGAAAAAGGCACAACTACTATAATTGGCTTATGCGTATACACAGTTTCGTAAAGATATCATGACTGGTTCCAGAGCTGTGCCTAGGAACAAAACCGGGCCCATTTCGAAATTCAAGCTCTTAACTTCGGTCAGCGCAAATAATAAGTAAAGATTGGAAGAAATACGTATTGACTTTTCGGCTTGGATTCATAAATCGAAACAGGGCATAAAGGCAGTCTACTCAACATTTTAAATAATTGTAAGCTGCTTGAACTTCTCTAGAACAGAGTTCTCTAGAAGCAAGAAGTTCAATAATGATAAATAAATCTTACCCTGCTTCAAAAGAAACGTCTTGATGACGTAAAATTCGGAGAAGCCAAACAAAGGTGACTTTCTCCATCGTCAAAAGGGATAACATTATAATACAGAATATAACAGGTATCAGGGTCTAAAATAAAAGTTGAAACGAAATTAGTTTATAGTATTAATTATTAATTTTAATATGTCCCAAAGTTAAGTTCGAACAATTCTTCAAAATAATCTACATCACCTTAAACAAAATGTTACTATTGACCTAATTGTATATGGCAATCAAAACCTTTCAGATGATACCAATTCTAATATGGCAATCAAAACCTTTCAGATGATACCAATTAGGGTGAATTACGACCCGATAGTAAATGTTTAATACGTTGCGCTAATCCGCACATTTTAATGGTTCTTAATATATATATATATATATATATATATATATATATATATATATATATATATATATGTTTGTAGCTGTCTATAAATATGTCCATTGTTTATTGTAAACATGAGATTTTATATGTTTGGAAAAAACTTATATAGGCTTTTGCCTGTTCAATCCAATTCAGTTTATTGAATAAACTGTTGTTTAGATAAATAAGTTCGAAATAAATTGTATATAAACGAAATAAGTGAATGATACCAGCATCGCCAAATTAATATTATTTTTTTTAGGTAAAAGGTATTCTGAGATTTAAAAAGAAAATAATAAAACATACCTTTAGCCATGTCCTCATGGCGGAAGTCTTCTTCTACCCAATTTAAATTAAAATTCCCGGAACCGGCGTCTTGCCTGGTGACCTCTTTTCCTCAAAAATGTCAAAATATCACAACTATCTTAAACAGAAAACATCAAGCTGTATATGTGAAATGATGTGTAATGGTATTTTGATGCAAATTTAATTTATTGGTTATCATTATTGTACGGAAACTTGTAAGGAACAATGCCATGGGTAAAAAATTAGGAGACATCAATTAGGCAATGCGAACAAATTTTAACAAAAAGTACTTCCTGAGAAAAGATGTCACTTTGAATGCAATATCAATGCAAAGGTCTGGCAAGTGGAACCATACCTTATCTTGTCCAGTGCAACACCCACTGATTGACAGCAATGGACTATTTCCAGGTTTGTGTTTGTCAACTATGTAATGCTAACATCTTCTAAAAGTAGCGTCTATACAGTGTGCGTGAATCATTGAATACGAACCGATTATTTCCACAAATGTCCCCACTGGGTTTCCATTACTACTTTATATTTAAAAATATATTCATTGAAATTCCAACCACTAAAAAACTGAAATGAAACATATGTTCTAACTATCCACACACATCCGTCGAAATGTTTCAAAAGCTGCTTTTTTCGAAATATTTCCGCTACTAATGTATTGTACGCCTAAAGGAGTAAACGTGTAAACCACATTACGTCACATATGATGCAGTGAAACAAGATTTTGTTTGTTTAATCCCCCCCAAAACCAAGGTATGCCCTTTTCTTCAACCTTTAATTATTTTTTAATAACATAAATCACTTTCAGTCTACACTCCAAACATACAGCAACGAATTGCATTAACTTGTCTTTAATTCACGCCTATGCTTTTAATCTAATGTGTACGCATTTTCCCCTATTTCGTTTACATTTAAAATTAAATATATAAAAATTGCAGACTATATGATGACCAAGACTAAACGAATCTGCGTATAGAGGTTAAGGTATGAACTTATCTAAGGTAGTGATTAAAATATAAATTTCGAAATCGCTACATTTGTTTAAAACTTAAAACTCCTTAAATGGAATTTAAGAATTAATATTAAGAAAATAATATACTGTCGTAAATAATAATGATGATAATAATTTTGTGTTAAATCGAAATAATTAATCTCTTCGTGATTTATGACAATTAATAATAAATAATTAAATTATATGATTATAATTAACGACTGGTCATTATTTATTTTTATAATTAATTGATTATAATTTGAAATTTGTTAAAAAGAAAACTACGAAACGAAGATGCAGCAATGTGAATATAAAAAAAGTTTCTTAATAATTCATAAGAACAAACCTTGGTCGGTCCTGATCTGTATCTAACGCAAATCTGAGAAATATTTTTAATTTATACCAAAAGTTGGCAAGAGGAAGAAGAAGTAAGAATTTTTTCTAATTTATGATAATTCTTAACCCGATTCACAAGGTCAACGATTCAAATATGATAGAGCGGCGGAGGGATTGCAAGTCGGACATGATATTAGACCCCGATGAAGGATTTGTCTTTAAAGCTAGTCTTCTTGTTATTACACGATGAAGCATGCTATGAAGGCGGGCTGAGCGACTTGTGCTATCTTTGAAGTATGTGTTGATCGACAAATCTTCTCTAAAGACCAGTCTGTAGTCTAGAATGGCGTGCTAGTGTAAGCCAGAGTTAATATTTTTTCACCGATGTAACCTATTGTTTTGTCTAATCTAAACCTTTTTGGTCTTATTTAAGACAGTTAACAGTTTACACAAGTACTTTGCTTTGTTTCGACACAATGAGAATTAGAGATCATTTACGGTGTTGTCTGAATTAAAATCGGGGATTCCACTCACTTTATGACCCTTCCAAAAGTTCATTCGGTTCAGGACTGTTTATTGTATGCAGCGGGGTTCCATTTTGTTGTGTAAACCATGGGTATTTTGAAAATAAAGGGCAGATACTTATAGAATGTAAATCTAGCTACCGTGCAGTAGTATTTCCCGTTGCAAGCGCTTGACTTCTCTGTCTGGGCGTTCTTTTGTTTTTCTTGGAAAAATCTCATAGCCTTCAAATTTAAATTGTGTACAACTCCAGGGCGTTATAATTTTAATAATAGTACAGGTTTTTATTTAAAATTTCGTAATCTTACATAATATGTGTTCATTTAATATATGATGGTGGTTCAGCCGCGTGAATGAACATCGTCATCGTTACACTCCTGACCCCCCCTCCCCCTCCCCACTGTTGGCATGTTCTTACAGTTCATACTTTTGAACCCATTACAAGTTTGACCGCTTAGCATCTTTATCTTGTATCAAGATTTGTTACGGCGTCATTATCTCTAATTTGTCATTATTGATAGAGTTAATAACATGACTGCAGCCAAAGATGTGCGTTGATAAGTGGTTTGGATCTGTGTGTTTGTGTTGTGTGAAATTATCAACATAAACATGGTGTTCATATATTTTGGTGACCGTTAATGGCGCGAATAACGCCATAACTTCCACGGGCTCCATCGAAAAGGATTTGATAGATTATCTTAAAATTTCAGGGCGCCTATAATATATCACAAATTGGGGTCTACGACATTTCTACATGTGAGAGCATTGTCATCGGCGGTCTATGCTCGAAAGGTCAGAGATTTTTAGATTTTTTTTCCAACTAGGAATTTTGCACCAGGATCCCTATTTTCTCTGTTAAGGAACACTTGTAAGCCTGATTGTTTAAGAATTGTTTTTTTTTTTTAAAAAAAACTTGCTGGGATTGTTCATTGTCATGTGAAGGAATCCTATGTAATTTCGGAGTCATGCATGGATTTTGCGATGGAATATTGCTACTGTCAATGAAATCCTGTAAACGCTTTACAGGTCAGAGGTTATAAGATTTCTATTCGTATTTGTTTGGCTTGTCAAGCCGACGTACCCTATCGAAATTTGGTTCGTAAGGCCGGCATCAATCTTATATAAGAATTATTCCACCTGTCACTGAAATTTTGTACAAATACGTTCTACAGGATACCTCTAAAGGATCATGAATATTACTTTAGACCAAAGGGCTTCGACTATGTATATTACGTCAATAGACTGAATATGCATAGAGTTGACGCACAAATACATTCTGCTTATTTCAAATACCTGTAGAAGGAGACGACCGTTTTCACAGGACACCACTAATTCCTACAGAGAGTGAATTCGTTGGTTACATTGAAATGTGGGGCGGACAGTTGTGTGTTTACCAGTTTGTGTATCTTAAGATTTCCATGAATGCTTTTTAGCAAGAGGTTGCCACATCTTGGTCCATCTGTGGTGGAAAGCGTTCAACCCAAGATGCTTTACGAAAAGTTTTTGCATATCGGAAAATCCCTCTTGTTTATGTGGTCAAGGTTTAGCAGACAGTGAACATTTATTTTATATACTGCCCGCTTTACAATTCCCAGCGAAAAATAACTATAGATAAATTGGATTTCGAACCCCAAAATATACACACAATACTTTCTGGAACACGGATATTTCTTTTGAGGACAATTCTTTCATTGTTGAAACCGTACATCACTATATCAAACTAACTAAACGTTTTAAGACTCCTTAGATCACGACCAAAACTACCAGCTGTGCTACTATTTTCATAATATTTTATATATTATTTTTCGAAAGCAAGTCAACACAACATTTTGTACATGGCCTTGGCATCAACATCATCTCATGAATATCTACCATTGAATATATCCAGTCGTCAAACATTTTCCAATGATCACTGTCTATGGAAGCGATTTTACAAATGCAGCACTGCATGTTATTGTATCATTTATTTTAGTATGTAAATATATCCTTAAGAAATAAAATATTGTTTAAATTTATTGCAAGTATTTGAGTTTATGTACATTATGTTAGCCATGAATGGTAAAACAGAGCTGTTGGACAGATTCCTTTGGCAATGCTAGTTCTGCAAACAAGGATTCGACATTTTGTGGGTGTGGGGATACATGTTTCAGTGTAGATATCTAAAATTTTGATTTTTCTGTTTGCATATTGTCCAAAGTTTCTAAAAGAATATTCCTTGAAAGCCTTGCTCTCTAAAAAGTGAAAAATTGTTGGCATTTTGAAAAATACTACATGTAAATTTTGTACATATTATGAGAATTTTCTATGTGATTTGTTTGCAACTTTTTTTTTTATAGAACTCAAATATTGCCTTTAATAAGACAGATTTTTAAATTATAGAACAAAGAGTACATGGACCCGTGATGCACCGCTGTGACGCACCGCTGTACATAAAGCAGCTTATTTTCTAAAAGGGCCATCATTTTTACAGAATACATATAAATCGAATACAAATGCATCTGGCTGATACCGACATCGTTAGTTCGTTCTTGGAGTTTTACGTCAACTTCCACCAAGGGTGATATCGTAGACCAAGGCTAACCGTTCGTTCCTGGATGTTGATATCGTAGACAATGGCTGATACCGTACGTGCGTGCCTAGAATTTTACGTCCACTTCCACCAAGCGCGATATCGTAGTATCGTAGACGGCTGATACCGTTCGTTCGTTCCTAAAGTTTTACGTCCAATTCCACCATAGGTGATACCTGAAGTTTTACCCTTTAAGGGTAATATACTATTCAAAAAAAGTAGGGGATATTTGATTTTTAAGTGTTATTAAAGTCACCTAATGAAACTGACGAAGAAACAAATGACAAAATGAAATGAAGTTCACATTCATCGATTTATTCCAAATGATCGTTAGACTAAGTAAGGCACAGACTGACCATTATAAGGGTAAAATAATACCCGGGGTCAAACAGCAAAGTTACCACAGCATCACAACCAAGTCAGTAACGGGTAAATCCTCCTCTGTTTGCCAAACAAGCATTGATCCGACGTGGCATACTCCTAATGAGACGTCTAAGGTCATTTTGGTCCAGATTGTCCCATTCCTGTTGCAACGCAGCAGCAAGTTCTTGGACATTGGCAGGACGTTGTTGACGTTGACGTAACCTCTGTCCAAGCATGTCCCAGACATGCTCGATGGGGGAGAGGTCGGGACTCAGTGCTGGCCAAGGTAATGTGGTGATGTTCTGTTGTTGGAGGTAACCTGTAACGATCCTGGCCCTGTGACATCTTGCGTTGTCATCCTGGAAGATGAAACGGCGGCCATGACGTCGTGCGAACGGCACAACATGGACTGCCAAGATGTTGTCCCGGTAGTACTGGCCTGTAACACGCCCTGCAACAACATGTAAAGCCGTTCTTCCAGCAACAGTGATGCCTCCCCACACCATAACAGAACCACCCCCAAATCGATCATGTCTGATGACGTTAACGTCTTGGAAGCGCTCGTTTCGACGACGCCACACCCTCCTACGTCTGTCCAAAAAATCAACAGTGAACCTTGACTCATCTGAAAACATCACATTGCTCCAGCGTCGATTATCCCAGTGTTGACGATCCCTACACCAACGACGTCTTACTGAATGTAATGATCTCTCAAACAAGGGATCACGCGAGGACGTCGGGCGCGAAGGTGACCCCTATGCAGTCGATTCCGAATCGTCTGGCCACTCACTCTCACACCAGTGTCTGTTTGAAGACGAGCGCTGATCTGATTTGCTGTGATGACACGATTTCTCAAGGCCAAGGTACGGATAAATCGATCCTGGGCTTGAGTTGTCGCCCTTGGTCGACCTGAGCGTGGTCTGTCCTGTACAGATTGTGTATCACAGTATCTGGACCATAGCCTACTTATGACAGACTGAGAAACATTCATCGTCCGCGCCACAACCGCCTGTGTTGTGCCGATCTGTAGCATGCCAAGGGCACGTAACCTTTCATTTTGGGTAAGCCGACGCATATCAAAATTTGTTTTCTGGTCACTAAAACAATTAAACTGATGTTTCCACCCTGGAATTCAATGTCACAATGACTGTAACATTCAAAGTCAGAGTCGTGCAAATCTTGGGTTGGACCCCCATGATGATCCCAAGCATCACCTGCATTCCATGCGGTAGCTATTGGTGCGTTTGGGCGTCACATGTAACTGGAAATGTTTCTTCTGTTAGGTTCTATAGTGACTTTTTTCGTAGTCATTTGCATATTTTAGTATTATGCCCCCAAAATCAAATATCCCCTACTTTTTTTGAATAGTATATATACGACACAGGACATAGTGCAGATGTTATTAATAGTCTTTTCCCCCGTTCCCTATTTTGCATGGAGATTTGTGTTTAACTTTTGGTTTAGAATCGAAGAAAAGAGTTTGAGTATACATTTTCTGTCAGGTTTTGGTGAATATTCATGATTTTGAAGCGAAAAGATAAGAGAAGAGGTTAGTTACGTTGAAACGTAGGACAGACAGTTGTATGTTTACTGGCTACATCCATGCACATAAATAACAAAGTAAATGTTACCTTTTGTTTTTAATAGTGTATTTATTTTATGTATGTCTGCTTTTTTTTCATGCGAAATGTCAACATGTATTGTGATTGTATTTCAATGTTCGTGTGTACTCAACGCGGTCTCATGGGTCGTGATCGGAAATGATTTAGACTTAGTTAGTACGACCATCTTCTTTCGCGGATTTCCATTTGTATCATAATATCAATCGAATCACTGCAAGGAGTGTGTAGTATGGAACTTTATTTGCCATTAAACTATGGTTAAAGTAAACTTGGTTTCGCAATCAGCATGGCCGTGTATGGTATCCCTCGATGTGGTGGTGGTGGGGGGGGGGTAGCAAATATGGGATTAACACCCTGCTACCATCTGAGAACCACAGGTGCAAATTTTTTCGAGGGGTCCGGGGTATGCTCCCCCGGCTAAATGAGTCCCCGAGATGCCATTTTCGGGAAGATTTTGCAAAATTCTGATGGTCAGAAATCTCTTATAACATGAGTAAGATTGAGTAGTACGCATGGGAATTCATGTTATGCAAGAACTTACAAAGTGCTGTGACCCCCCCCCCCCCCCACACACACACACACACATTACTCCCCTGTATATATTAGTCCCGAAACAATGATGAGTAAATAAATAACCCATATTCACTTTGATCCGGGGAACAAGACGTTCAACCAAGAAGAGTTATTCCCCCTCCCCCTAATCTTTGTCTCACTTTTTCGCTTTTCAATTTTAGTTGAGGTTTTGGTTGTTGATTCCAAGACTTTTGAATTAATTTTCGACCAAGCTTCGGTGTATATTTATGCATTAGATGCAGGGATAAACTGACATGTAATAGGGAAATAGCGTCCGAAAATTGATTTCAGTGACCTCATGCATGATGGTCAGACAGATCCCGTCCAAATTTTTATCAGGTAATTGAGAAGTGTTGGGCCTTATTTGTCAGTTTTAGTTCTGCTATCACAGCGCTGGTCGGAAAACAACTCGTAACAGAAATGAAACGTCCTACTTTTCTGCACCGACTAGGCTAATGATGATGAACATGCGCCATACAGTGTGCTATGAGGGAATTTTTTTCCTGGACAGCGGCACTACGGCCTAGTCTTATTTCGAATTCCAACAGCCAAGGGCTCTTGTACCTGCACACCAGGGTATACACGGGACCTCGGTTTTTCATTCCATCCGAACGACTAGACACTGTTCCTTGTCAAGGCCCCCGCCTTCCACGGATGACAAAGGGAAACAAAGCCGGAAACTCGATAGGAGCTTTCTCGGCCAACGCCGGGAGCGAACCCGTGACCTACTAGTTAACAAGTCAGTGTCTTACTCACTGAGTCACCACGACACACAACTCGTGACAGAATAGCATTATCGTTCTGTACAGGTACTTCAATTAGCCCCCAATTGCTTGATAGTTCCTTTATTATCTGACTGTCACTTTTGTTCAATAATTCTTAAGTTTTGTCAAAAGACAGCTTCTCCATGCACAACGAACTAAACATATTTTTACCACACTGTATGCCTCTACATCTTTAATTCTGTTATATCTAAGCCCATTTATTATTTTATGACTAGAAATGACTACTTACTAAAATGACTATTTAAACGTACACAATTTTGGAATCGCGAAGATTACAGTAGCGCGGGGGCCCCTGACCGTGGAACCCGATTAGAAGCAATTGGTCCAATTGGCTTATTGGCGGCCGTGATCAAAGTATATTCTTACTGTAGATTTGCACAGGCAAAAGAACTGATCGAGCAAGCATAAATCTATTCCAAAGTGCCAGATATATTACCGGCACAGTATATAGACTGTACTTGTATGAACAGGGGGTTAAGTAAAGGATAGTGGAACTGTTTACTGATCTCTACAGGCACCATGAGCTAATTGGTAATCGAAATGAAATGAAATGGGGTTTAACATTCTAATTTTCGGGGCTTATGAAGACGGGCATACGCCATACAGTGTGCCATAAATAAAGTTTCGTCCGGATATCGGCGCTATACGGTCAACTGTTATTTCAAATTCCAACTTCCAGGAATTCTTTTACGTGCACGTCAACGTGCTCATCCTCTTCCTTATTGTTCCCGATCAGGCTCTCAATTGTGTACTACTGACAAAGGGGAATCACACTGAAAAACCCCGAGGAACTTTCTTGGCCAATACCAAGATCGAACTGGTTGGTGAGCCACAGTCTTACTCACTGAGACACCGTGGCTGCCTACTTGGTAGGCAAGAGAATCGATGATTTACATAATTTATTACAAATATCTACATTAATGTACATCTTTACACATCCAATAATACACAGTCATCTGTTGGCCTAACTTCCAAACCACGAACCACAAACTGAGCTCGAACACTGTGTCTCTTTAAATGATATCGCGGCACGTTTGTGAAAAAAACTGGATATACCGGAGAGTTAAAAAGAAATGAATTATAATTTCAACATTTCTTTCACATGTTTAACATGACTACCTTAAAAAGGGACATGGAAACAAACCCTAGAAACTATCTAGCTGTTAGTTTAGAAGAGACAGGATCATCGAGACCAGGTTTGTAGTTTGCCGTTTGTGTTTTGGAAGTTAGACCAACCGCTTATTCTTCTGAGACACATTTCGTTAAATAACAGCTGTGAGAATTAATATATTTATACCCTGCCCCTGGCCCATCTTCTGTTTTCTAAATTCTCCTTTTGTTAATAATATATTACGACTAGGTCAAAAAAGACTAAATATCCCATTGAATCACAACTGTCTCTATCGCACTTTGATAACCACCGTTACAAAAATTGTCTTTCATAATTTCTGCAATTTTGTGTAACAGAGTAATCACCCGTGTCGGAAAAATCATCCACGTGATCAAAACATCTGTCAACACTATAGTTTGCAATTTTATACTTTTTCATTATTATTATTATACTCAAATATTCACTAGTTAATTATGACTATCGTCCGGTTTGGTTATCCAGACGGGTTTATCCATTTTAAAGATGGCTTTTCCCAACTTATGAATGCAGTCCTTGGCTCTGTAAACTGTCATACCCACAACTTGTATGCAAAACGAGAAGCCGTACAAGGCCCCACTCATCACGGCGTACCCGTTTAGTGAATTGTCATCCACGGCTGATAGGTAGAAATATCCAATCACCGCCACCCATATAACATTTGATATCAACACGGCCACCAAGGCCTTAATTCGAAGGCTATTCAATCCTGACGCCAGGTCATCCTTTTCTAAACCCAGATTCACATCCTTTCCAATAAACTTTAAAACAAGATCATTCCAAAATGTCTGCTCCTCCTCCGACATTCCTTTCAACTGTTCGGGAGTCATTTCCGTTTCTAAATCAAGTGTCTCTGAAAAAATAAATAAAAGTTATACTAAGCTAAGACGGTCTGCAGTCTTAAAGTTGTATATCTACCCTGCGAATATATATTTAATTGTACAATGCTCTTGTGTCCTAAGTTTTTTCACAGACTTGTTATGTAGTTCTCCTACATTGTGTATTACTTGATATCAGTTTCTCAACCAAATTGCATTTGACATGCAGAGATTAATTTATTAAAAGAATTTAGTCTAAATTCTATCAATGATGGATTTTGTTTTGCTGACACTGTCTGCTAATTGTCACTGATAGCCAAGACAAATATATTCCTTTCGGAAACAGCAATGATTCTCGACCGTGTCATCCAACTGGGTCACTGAATGATTGATTTTGTTTTGCTGACACTGTCTGCTAATTGTCACTGATAGCCAAGACAAATATATTCCTTTCGGAAACAGCAATGATTCTCGACCGTGTCATCCAACTGGGTCACTGAATTTCGTAACAGATCCGTCCAAAATGTGAGAATCTATACATCGCGAAAATCTATACAATAATCCATCTACTTGACCATCTTCATGAGAAAAGTAGTTTATTCTGGGACAAAACACTGACCTGTGCTAGGACTGGTTTTCATGCCTTTCTTCTTCTTCTTCTTTCGTCGGAATTTAGGGAAACATAATAATTTGGGTATTTTAGCCTTTTGCTGAAAACAGAATTATACGATATTTAAAAAAAAGAAAATGCTATGGACAGCAACTCGGGATTATTTCGAATTAAAGGACAATATTGGTGTTAGTCATTTTCACTAGATAAGAGAAAACTAGAAAATAGAAACAGTCGGTAAATTCCCTTGTTTTTATTCATTCTATACTTAATAAAAACATGGTAATGCACGGACTTTTTCTATTTTTTTCGTTTTCACTTATCTAGTGACAGTCAATTATTTTTTTTATGAATTGTTAGATATCCTCCAACAGTCTCATATAACAACTTTTGGTCTTCGAAGGAATTATTAGTGAGCAGAAATTCGACCGTGTATCTGTTATCACTCGTCACCTCAGTCAATTATATAGAAGGATAACTCGTGTTTTCCTTTGAAATCTTCATTACGCATCTACCGTAGCAATGGTCTATATGTTAAAATTATATTTGGACCGTGTTTAACCAGTTCTATCACATATGTGATAATGACTGACACCAATATATGCAATCTGTAGTCAATTGGCCAAACGCGTGCACTTTAGGTCATAATGTCTGTCGTTGGGTCAAGGGGCGTCGTTCGATTCCTTGCTTGAGCATGGCAAGGAGTAGGGGCGCCCGTCCAAACTCGAAGGTTATCTCTGTGTCCTCAGCATTCCTCCCATTGCTAAAGCCCCGACCCGCAAACGAATTATTGAAATAACATTGAACCATAATGTTAGTCCCGAAATGGGCTAGTTGATCTCGGTATTTCTTTATAACAGTGAAACAACCATATCGATTCCCTGTTACTAGCAGAGTTAAACTTACTGTGTATTGACCTTCTGGTCAAAAAAATGATTATATAAGTGTAAATCTATCTTATATTGTTTTATACAGTTTATTGCTTAGAAACCATTTTCTGGTTATTTGGGTTCGATCCCGTATTGGCCGAGGGAGTTCTTCGAATTTTTTCAGCGTGGTTTCAGTCTGGTCATTCAGGTGGGATGACGCCGGTGTCCAGGCGAAATGTCCATAGCAGCTTACATAATAATAGACATGCATTTGTAACCTGTCCATATAAGGGACGTAACTCTGATTTACCAGCATATTATGTTCTTCGAGTAATCGTTATAAATATACCGAAGATTGAGCATCAACTTCGCGTTATGGATGTCCAGAAAAAACACAAAATACATTTAGTTGTCCAAGTTCATTTGACTTACATTATCTCTAGTTCCCCAGGTTTGGTCAACAATGTTACACAAGGCGTAGATGGGAAGCAGCATGTGCATGGCCGGGAAGAAAAAGATATAAAAGAGTCCGTGCACGAGTGTGTAGCATTCACGTGGATGTAACATAGCCGCATAGAATAAACTTCCGGTCAGTGCCACCAATATAAAATGTTCTTGAGGTTGAAGATTATCTTCCATGACGTCTGTAAAGAAGAAATCATATTGCGATTAGTCACGGTTAAAGTGTGACTCTTTAAAGATGTCAAAGTGAGAAAATTCTAAGCCACTATAGTCTACGAAGAAAAACAAGTTTTGGCATGTTTTCAATATATTTAGTTAATAAGAACAAATAATGATAATTTACAGTTTTATAAGCGATAGACATGGACCTATTGTAACCATAATATCTGAGATATTTGTGTACATGTCGTATGTATGTGCCTACGCATAAAGTTACTCATTTGGTATATTCTATGAGGAATTATAACAGTTTAAATGAATTAACGGTTCATTTTAATCCAACACTTCGCTCACCACGACTCAGTCATTCAAATAACCAACGGTTACCAGGCAAGATACGCCCGCGATTTTTCGTACAATCAGGGGCCATAACCCCAGAAATTATGGTCAGAATTGCGCGAATATCGAAAGGGGCTGAGCTCTTTGGGATATAAATATATATTTTAAGTTTCATCACAATCGGACAAAAATTATGACCTTTAGAGGGTCCACAACCTTTGTATTACATACTTGTAAATAATTTGCGTACAAGGAGCGGCCATTTTGTCCGGTTGTTTTGTTTCAATTTTCCTGAAAATCGAACTCAACCTTCATCATGGTGGAACCGTGCTATATTCAAACGGTTGTTAAAATCTGATAAAAATTGTGTCCTCTAGGGGATCCACGAGATAAAAATGTGATTTTGCGTACAACCAGGGGCCATAATCCAGGATGTTATGGTCTGACATGTGCAAATATCTAAAGGAACCGAGATCTTTGAGATATAAACATATATTTTAAATTTCATCAAAATCGGACAAATATTGTGACCTCTAGCGCGTCCACAACCTTGGTATTACATACTTTTAGACAATTTGAGTTCAGGGGTCGGCTATTTTGACGGGCGGTTAAGATCGGATTTTTACGAAATTCGAACTATATATTTAAACGATTTTGAAAATCAAATTGTTACCTCTAGAGGGTCGACAAGTTAAAATCGACATTTTTTGGTACGATCAGGGCCCATAATCCAAAATTGGGTCCAGCAGTTTCGATCCGATTTTCACGAAATTCGAACTTAATAATCATAAAGGTGTAACGTTGATATATTTAAACGGTGTTTTAAATCTGATAATAAATGTGAACTCTAGAGGGACCACACGCTAAAAATGTGATTCTTCGTTCAATTAGGGACCATAATACAGGAAGTTAAGGTCCAATATGCGCTAATATCGACAGGAACGAAGATCGTTGGGTTATAAACACATATTTCATGTTTCGTCAAAATCTGATAAAAATTGTGACCTCGGGAGTGTCCACAAGCTACAAACGTGATTTTTTTGTACAATCAGGGGTCATAATCCATGAAGTTATCATCTGATACATTCCAATATCAAAAGGAACCGAGATCTGAGGGTGATAAACCTATATTTCATATTTCGTCAATATCAGATAAAAATTATGACCTTTAGAGTGTACAAACCAACTGTGGACGGACAGACAGGTGCGACGACAATATACGTCCACATGAAAATGTGGGCGTATAAAAACTACTAAAAATCGTTTTGTAGATTTAATTCTTTCTTCTAGACTCCAAATAATGTCCTATTGCTAATTACTCACATGGGACTGGCAATAACTATGAAACGATATATTTGTAATATAATCTATTTTATAACTTACCAATAACAAGATCTCTGATAACATATATGGCTGCCCCGACCACAACACAACTCATGGAAAGTCCCAGAATCACCATACAAAATTTAGTGAGCTGTATCTGACTCGGGGACGACAGCCGAACGCACAATATACCGTAAGCTATGAACAGGACTACGATAATAGGAGTTAGGATAATAAAAGGAGCATTGATGAGCATCTCCAAACCAACAGTTAACATAACAACAGTTGACCCGGGGGACAGGAACACAATGAAGAACAACTGCAGAAGGTAGAGAACGTAGATCAAGGAGAAACAACCGTTGCTTCGAATCAATTGGGGCATATTGCGGAAAACCATCAAAGAATTGGCAAAGTCGGATAAGATCCAACGACGTCTTTGTTTAATGAACTCTTCAATTGTATCTGGGCAGTAAGTACTGTTAACACCAAATGTAGAGTATCGGAGTTTCCATCCACGTAACATCATCAACGTACACATCCATCGATCTTCACCTGTAAAATATTGTAGCTAACCCTTAACACTGCGCTTATATATACTAGAAATAGATATTAAAAAGTTTCTTAAGATTATGGCTTCAATAGAGTATAGGAACTCGGGTTGTATATGTAATTACAAATGAACTGGGGTTTAACGGTGTGCTATGAGGGAAAATTTACCGGACAGCGGCCCTACGCACCTACTCCTATTTCGAATTTCGTGCACGCCAATGTGTTCGGAATATCCAAATGATTATACGATGTCCATTGCCAGGCAGGCCTTCTGCCCTCTGACAAGGGGGGAACCACACCGGAAAATCCAGATGAACTTTTTTGGTCAACGCCGTGATCGAACACGGGACCTCCACGTTAGCGAGTCAACTTCTTACTCACGGAGCCACCCCCGCTCCATACATAATTACATATCCACGGAAACGCAGGTGAATATGCTAATATAAAACTTTATTTAGCATCTTACTGTAACCTCATTGCATATCATAATCAAGAATTTAGTATAGTGCAATTGTCTCATATTTGCACTGTTTAGAGCAATGGATATACTGCTTGCTTTAAATTTTGAACCAGAACCAATTACCGAAATCATTTGCATATCGGAAGGCGGCGACTGTGATGTTAGATCAGGTCAGGAGTTTACTCAACTTTCAATCATTGTTTATGAGAAATATTTTGATCCAGAAACACAGAACTTTGCACATACTTTCTTATTGATGTATTTGATACATTAAAACAACAAAGGTTTTATAACGGGCTATATTTAGTTAAAATACGGCGAACAATTTTGAGTAAATTCTTAACTTAAGTCTGAGAATGCTTTGTGAACTCGGAGTCTGATCGTTATCTTTAAATGGGTGGCGCCAACGAATGCACGTTTTGTACAAATTATGTCAGCACTCACCTGTATCTTTAGTAAAGACATCACCGGCTTCCATTGTTGGTTCTGAATAAAGGTTCATAACTCCAGCCAGAGCTTTTACACGATACAAACTAAAACATCCCGGACAGCACATCACAGATCCAATTATATTCTGAGCACTTTTGATCATCCAAAAATCTACGGATAAGAATGGACTGATTATTCCTTTGTTAGATGCATTTTTTATACTAAATTTAATTGCATTTGAAATGAAATGAAATGGGGTTTAAAGTCCTACTGTTCTGCTCCGACTGGGCTAATGAAGAGGGGTAATTACATTTGATTTTCAGATTACTGTGATATACGTCTTCGTAAGTATAAATTTCTGGTTGCTTTCCTTTCATAGATTTGAATGCTGAATAATACTTATCTTCTTTTATTCACAAAATACATGTAATGATAAACAAAAACACCTACCTTTAGCATATTCAAATTTCTGAAACCAAACAATAGGGTTTATCTTTTTCCCCATTGGATAGGTTCGTCCACAAGCAGCACCAAGTCTCATATCTTCGTTGCAGGTTTCCACCAGATCCAAAACACTCGCATCACTGAAATGCATATCGGCATCAGTAGCGAGTATATACGTACGATCATCAAATTCGGGTTCCTCAATGCTCATATCCAAATAAAGAGAACCATCAGCTGAAAACATACCGCCATCGTGAAGGTATTCACTGCCATCAGGTGCAATTTCTCGAATTGTTGGTACGACACTCGATGCTCTTGATCCATTCATGAATTCGGACATCCATGGTGTAGGCATGATTTCGTTTACTTCGGGTTCGTAAGCTGGATTCAATTTACTAATGTTGAATTCAGATTGCGAAATGTTTTCTGTGGAACCTGGCTGAGGGAACTGTATCGTTTGTTTAGCATCTTTGTTTGGGGCAGCATCGTTAACCCTTTGTGCGTCCTTGTTTTCAGAAGAAATTGTGGAAATATCGTCACAGGTATCATCAATACCTTGGTCCGAACTCATCTGGGATCCACTTTTACTGTTGATAGACTGTTGTTCCAGATCGTCGTCAGGTACTTTAAGGACAGTAGTATTTCTCTGCAACCTTAAAATCAGTTCCGTTTCTCGGGAATCGCTCGTTATCAGGTGTAACTTGTCCTTGTCTGATATCTGAAAGATATCGAAACTTGATCTCCGTTCTAGTGCATCCGTTACTTTAATTCTGTGATTGAGGATGTATTCAAAGTACATAACTTGACTCCACCGTTTCTTGGCTTTCACGAAATTTGGATCCTTCAGATGTAAGAAGAGAGGCATCCCGCCAGGAAGAATACTAGATATTTGTATACCATATGGTGTATGAAAGATTCTGCCTTCTGACCTCCCCACATCTAGTGTTGATTCAACAAGAGACATCAGTTGCAAAGCAAATTCCTTCAAGGTACACCCATCGGTTCCGTTATCAAGGAAGATATGACTTTCCAAATAAACTCGAGCAAGCTTCAACTTTGTTGATTTAGAAACTTTGGCAAGACTTTTCAGAAGCTGTTCCATTTCGTAATCAGCTTCTCGGTACATTGTGGTACAGAGAAACACACGCGAGCGTTTAAATTGACTGGACATCCGATGTTCTATCGACGTTTTGGGATTGTAGTTCAGGAAGACGTGTTGATCAAAATAGACACTGCAGTAGTTATAGGTAATGAAGTTTTCTTGTTCTGGCTTGAACAAAACGTCTGATGGCATGAAATATTTCTTTCGCAGGATCAGTACAGGGAGTATCCAAATCAAAGCAACAAAACCGAGGACGATAAAGCCGCCGTCGTGGATTGAGCAGGCTTCTTCATGGAATGTATTAATTACGTTATCGAGACAGTTGTACACGAACATAACGGTTGATAAAACGGTAGAAAGAAGAACTGGGATCATTATACCAGATCTGCTGGTGGTGTAAAATGCGGAAACACGAGTCAGTGCATAGGCTATGAAGGCGGTTATACAGTGCATGATAATTCCCGTATATAGAGACTCCGTTTCCTTCAGAGACCGGAGGCCACGTAATACATATCCGGGCGATTCTTCAAGGGTAATGTTTGAACCCATTGGAATAATAAGAATCGTAAAGCCGACAATACCAGCTATGCGGATAATCGTCTGAACAAGACTCGTGTTATTCCTAGCAGTTTCCGAAGGACATTCCTTATTAAAAGCGAAAGACTTGATTGGTTTGCACCACACGACGGACAGTGCTGTCATGCTGGCAACGAGAGATACAGCTTCTGGAATTTCCGTTATTTCAAGAATGACCAATAAGCAGGCAGTTAGGACGAAGATGCAGACACCAAAAGTCGTCGCTATGCTGTGAAGAGTCCTTTTGATCCATGAAGTGTCTGGTACAAGGTCGTGGGAAGCCAGGAAAGATTTTTGCTGTAATTGAAAATGATTGATTGATATTGCAATTGTTAAATTTATATGCGTATTTAGTAAAGAAAGGTCTACTGATGCGGAAGAACATAATGGATTAAATTTAAATAAAGTAATACGTAAACAAGAACGTTATATTATTTTTTTTTAACAAATGGATACATACACTTTCTTTGAAAACATAGAAACTGCTAATATAATTGGTTTAGTAATTTGATTTTAGTGTCAAGAATAAATAAAATGAAAGCGGAGGTTAGTAAAAAGAAGACCAATGAAAGCCCTATAGAAGAAAGTAGTAAACGTAGTGAAGTGGGCGGGTCTAAGTCATACCTTCAAATAGTGTATATACTATTGTCAGATGCCATCTCTTCGTACCCAGAATAAATTGTTCTACTATTACTTACATCAGTGGTAACGTGTTTACCGCCCATTATGAATTATTTATTAGATTACATACTACTTTATATATTCATTTAAGTTCTTGGCATTAAGGCTCGGTATAAATCAATTTCCAACAAATATAGCCGATTTAATAAAACCTGAACCTTAAAAACTAAACTACCAATTTTAATCGTCTACCATGCTTTTATTTAGTGCGACTATAGATGAAAACCTTTAACGAACCTTATATACCTGCATACACCACACAAGACATCAGATATATTGTCAATGTACTTCGAATCACAACCCACACCCCAGTCTTCAAATAACCCAGTGTGTGAGAAACTATTTTCACTCGTGTTGGTGGCGATGTGAAAGAATGACATTTCTTCATTGGCAGCTCAACAATTTTTAATTTAGAAATGTCATGTTTCCCCGTCAATAACGTAATATTTAGATATCATATCCCTACCTTAATGCTTCTCCACACCTTACCTTAAGATGGTATTAGCCAAGGCGATCCTACTAGTCGGTCGTCATTAATAGGGTGTGATGATGTAATATAGACAATAGAGGAAGAATGAGGATAACAACAACAATCAAAACATACAAAATGATCAAATCAAACTAAATTTAAGTACATGTATCAGTTGCATCGAAAATTTTAAATTTTGGGTGGGTAGGCGATCCATTTTGATAAGTTTTTGAATTTTGATAAAACATTGATTTTTTATTGATTTATTGATTTTTGGGGGGGAGGTCTTGGGTATTACTTATGCGTTTTTTCTCAAGTTTTCACCAAAGAATGTTACAGTTTTAAATTAGAATCCACTAATGCTTGGATATGTATACTGCCGTGCATATCTATGACAATGAAAACCTTCTATTATATATAGAATACCCCTTTATATTTGGATAATTGAATTTGGCGCGGTTGTTTAATTTCATCTATATTGATAAACCAATATATCCACCATGATTTCAATCATGTTCCATTTTGAAACTTCAATATATATCTTTGCGGTAACAAGCTGTCATTTGATGTCGATTTTTTGTCTTGAACTTTCGAGAAGATTAGAAAATAAAACGAAAAAGAAACGAATGTGATTGTCATGGCTATGACAAATGTTTACAAATCAATGACGTAGATTAAACTGAACTAGTGTTCGGAGCTTTTAAACTTTGATAAGGATTTTTCAATGAGATACGTAAATCCTAGAATTTGTGAATAAGGATTATGTGGCTTTTTATAGAATATCTTTAAAAGGTGAATAAAACTTTATTTAATCTGTATACACGCGAAACCGTTTGTGAGGCATTTACTATACACTCAAAACATAGCGAACTCGTAAATTGCATGTATATGTGAGTTTTTATCAAAAGTAATCCCGGTTAAAACAAGTTTGCGTTAAATTGGAACGCAATTTTAAACTAACACTATTCGGAAGCCACTAATTCGATATAAACCATTGAAGAGATCTCAATTTGATAATAATAATAATTTGAGAAGGGAGTATAAACCGTACTCTCCCATGTGGAAATGAGGTTATAGCAACTGATTCATTTACTATATAATACATAAAACACATGCACGATTACTATTAATGCTGTAAGAAAACATACAAGTTAAGATAACCAACATCTTGCATGGTATTTATGATTATTTGAGTTTACAACACTGGATTTATTCAGATAAATGAATGTGATTGGTTTTTTTATTTGTGAAACAATCCAAACTCAATTAGATCTGATGTGCTTTTATTAGAGCTGGGTGATCGTTATATCCCAATATGTACATGAATGTTAGAGGTTGTATTAAGTTAGACTAGGTTACATCTAGACAAATCTACTAAATAAATGTCTGCAAATGATATTTAAGATATGGGGAAGCTGTTCTGTCCTATTCGAAATAACGTTTAAAACGGAATGCAATCAAGATTTTGTTTTATCCTTAACTTGTATGTTATCGGAATAAAATATAATATAATCCATTACTCGAATATATAGCAATGTCAACAGCCTATCATTTAAAATCCACAGCAACTATCCACATAGTCCGAAATGTGTGACTCTTCCCAAGATTTGCTACGACTATGTCGAAATGAAAGTTATAAAAAACATCTAAACTTTTGGACGTTCGACAAAATAACTGAGAAAAAACAGGGTCGTATTTTTCTTACTCTTCAATAACCGTCAAGTCCAATATCAACTAAAAAGGCTAGGGAAAGAGTCTGACATTTAGAAATAATATCCACAATGATTGTTAATTGACATACATGCACGGTGTAATGGCAAAAAACTTTTTTAATAGGAAATTTTCGTTTTTTATGTACAATGCTACACTGATGGCGACGTCAAATCAGTATAGACGGTAACGGTAAATTTAAATGGTCATAACATCCGTTAGGGTTGGTGAGTATCAATAATATTTGCACAGATATACTCTTGGTAAGACTGTTTTAAGTGTATGGCATGGAAGTGTATATTTGCTTTTAAACAGAATAAGATTGGACTAATTACGGATAATGTTGTGATGAGCCAATTTAATGCAATTACGGCGAATCGGTTGAAACCCTTTCTTTATCAAATTCCTCTTTTGACTTGACACGCGTGTTCTATATTGATCTCACTTACAACAATTGAAATTTATACAATAAGTTTATAAGATGAAATAATAAAATAATTTTATAATTGTTTAAATGTCCAAACAACATTCGATTGAAATAAGTCACGGGTATATAATTATTGCATATTCATATTAAACTATAAAGAATATAATTTTAAAATAAAATCGAGACACTGTAAGAATTGTCAATGCACAAGTGAAGATCTGGCCTTGAAAGTTGACGTTTTTCCTTTGAGTGTTTCCTGTTGTTGTCTTAAATGCACGTTTTTTCATGTGCAGTATATTTTTTATGTGCATTATGACTGATATATAGAATATACATTATGGGATTTAATGTCCTTCTTTTGTACATTAACCGAGATAACGAAGACGGGCCTACGCCATGCAATGTGTTATTGGGGAAACATTTCCCGAACAGCGGGGCTACGACCTACTCTTATTTCGAATTCCAACTGTTCAAAGATTATTTTTGGGTATATATGCAGTATGTTTATGTGCCGTATATTTAGTATATTATGTGCAGTATGTTTCGTGTGTATGTGTGTGTGTGTGCAGTGTTTTGGGGATTAGGTGCAGTATATTTAGTAAATGTCCCATATGTTTGGAATATGTACAATATGCTTGGTATTATACAAAATGTTTGGAATATTTGCAGTATGTTTAGAATATGTGCTGAAGATAAACCAATGAACCAAAGTGTTTGCCACTACAAAAAAATCAAGTAACTTTGACCTTAAAATAAAAAGCATCGGGATGCCGCATGCATTAATTTGAAACATTTCACGGGACAACACTTTATAAACAAAGTTAAAACTTCGATATACAGCAAAAGCTTTTACAGTTTGAAGATGACATACGTATTCTGTCCATTTAGGTAATGTTTGAAAATTGTATTTAGATAACTTCTTTTTATCTTTGGAAATCCCGTAAAATGTTACTTAATTTTTGAAATTTTACAAAAACTTTATCCACCATAGAAAAATTAAAAATGCTATGATGCATGAAAGAAAGAAATGAGGAACGAAAGAAGTATATTGTTAAAATGTATATTATGTTGATTTTAATTATAGTATAAATGATTTACCTTATTTCTTTTCCACTGACTCAACATTATTTGCAAGAACAAAACCACGTTAACAAGTGGAAGAACTATGTAACTAGGCAACTTCGGGGCGACTTCTAACGTGAAAAACGTCACGGCAGCCATTTCCAAAAGACTGCTGAATAAACCCTGAAAAATATATCAAACTTATATTTTCGTTGGAAGCATCACATCTACATACATCAGCAGCTATCCCATTTAACCATATCGCCAGATCAATATCCCGACAGGAAAGTGATGAGCTGTGGGGCATTTACAACGTTCCGTGATAGAGTCAATAAAAATGAACTGTGAATCAGAATGTATTTCCATGGGGTTGCTCGGTATAAGTTGAACAATTCCAGCAATATATGACGAAAGCATTACCCCAAAAACTCTGTGGAGTGTGTCCAATAGTTGATTACGGTCGGATAGAGATGCTGTGACTATGAATCTAAACATAAAGTTGTCCCCTTGGGATGTGGGTGGGAGGTGATAAGATTAGGTCTGTTATCGATGTCAAGGGTTCTATACCGGGTTTCTCTATGACAAGTATGGTCGCCGGCATAACCTCGTGGATTTTCGCCCGGTACTCCGGTTGCCTCCCACTGGTTTATTGGGTTTTTTATTAACTACCTCAATTTTGTATATGTACACATACTCACCAAAAGGATGGCTTTTACTGACGGCCATTGCAATATATGACCGCGAACTAAAAACGAAGTGCTCCAAACAATCCTCAGCAACGTGATCACTTCCGGTACGACAAGAACTATTCCAATTGCCGCGTACCTTAAGTAAAGACAGAAAATTAAAATCCCAATTTCAAACAAGAAGTCCGAAACATCATTGTTAAATATAATGTTCGGAGACAGAATATTAATAGAAAATGGTTGAATATACTGTCCACCTCTCTTATTTTATTTATTAGGAAGCCACGGTAATTAAGCCGTAAGGGCACTAGACTCTCAACTAAAATGTTCCGGGTTTGAATCCAGGGGTAGGCAGAGAAGACCCGTCGTAATTTATAAGGTGGAGGTGGGTTAGACCTTGACCTGATGATATCTAACATCTGGCTTTGTGGTTCGGGTGGTGAGAAAAACTGTGGTCCACCCCTATTCACATCTGTGTCAATGCAAAATGGTCGCTGTCTAGGCAAATATATCTTCCCTACTAGCATTTCAGCTGATTGTCTATTTGCTTCTATTCTTAATAATCTTTAATAAAATACGAAAATTCCGAAATAAAGTCACGTTATTTATTAATAGGTTAATTTTAATTTATTTGAAGTTCTTGTGGTCGAAACGGGGACGATTTTGGGCGGGCTGAGATAGAGAGAGAGAGAGAAATGGGGTTTAACGTCCATTCGACACAAACTAGGTCATTTCGGGACTAACATATGGTTTCATTTTTTTATTTCAATAATTCGCTTGCGCGTAGGGGTCTTTAGCAGTTGGAGGAAACCGGAGGACCCGGAGAAAACCCACGAGGTTGGACAGGCGACCCTACACCTTGTCACGTACAACCGGGGATTCGAAACCACGCCAGTTGACTCAATGACAGGCCTTATGATACAGCGCGAGCGTTCTAACCATTCGGTCACCCAATCCCCGGGCTGAGATAGACTAGGGCCCATTAAATTAATAATTTTCTCTTTAAGCTATATCCCAATGATTTTTAAAACATACATTGTGATTGGCAAATACGAATAACTGAAGACAAAGACAAAAAAATGTTACTTGTGTGTCGTTCATCAAGTTTATTACAGATACTTCTGGAACAGTATAATCAATCGAAAGATACATGAAGAATTTCTTACCATTGATCTTGGGGTACTTGTGGTTTCTGAGCCAGTAAGATTAAAAAACTAAGTTTTGACGCCAAGAAAAATAACGTTCCGAGTGCAGATAATACAATAGCCAACAAAACCTGAAAAACAAAGAGAAAACTTTTTAAAATAGATTGGCGAGTAATATTTCGGTTCCATATGTTGAAAGTAGAGCGTGGGTTGGATATAAGCACGAGGGGCGACGCTCTTCGAAAAAAGTCTAATGTTCGGTTCCTGGTCCATAGTACGCTACTACATGCAGATCTACACTTGGCAAACTAAAGATGGGCAATGGGTGATCCCCCTTTAATCTCCCAACTTAGAATGGCGTTTGACAGTTAGCCATATGAGAAATAGGTAGACCCAAGTAAATAAACCGATCGATCTTTTAAATTTTACCATAAATATTGTTTGTTCTGGATGTTTTACACGATGGGCAACAGCCTGAGATCTCCGAAACTTACTGATTCTTACAACTATATAAAGTTTAACAGTTAGCAATTTGAGTAATACGGAGACAATAGATAACTGTTCGATTTATTAATAATTATATTCTTTTAAGTGTACGAAACGATGCAGACCCTTCTTGAGACATTAACAAGAGATTATGAATTTGTGATAAGCGTTCTTTAAGAAAAGTATTAATAAATCATTATGACCCCCAAACTTTGTATAGTAATTCGAAACGTGTCAGGGCCAGGACCCGCATTAGTAGCCCCGTGGCCCAATAATTGGGAACATTTTGACGTACCGCCAACTTCAGGAAACGTTCTTTTTACTGATATGAAGGTAGTTTCACTTAAAAAGATTATAGTAAATTATCCTAGCCCGGAACTCCCTTGCGAGTAATTGCTCGTGTAACTAATAATGAGACAAGTTCATCAGCTAGTGTAGTAATATGGAGGGAAAGAATTTGTGCTTTGAAACATCTATGTAAAATAATATTAGGATTTTGATTATTTATTCTCCATTGTCAATATATTAGTTATGGTATAAGTTAAATTCTGAAACGCAAATTAAATTGGCTATGAATATTGTGACAATAACCAGACATGGTGTCTAAAGACAAGAATGCAGAAATATGATGGCTAGAACAATAGCGTTATCTTCATAACCACAAATATGGAAGGTATATGCCGGTTATTTTGATACGTTAACTGAGCTATAGATTAATGAGCATGTTGGTCATTCACATTTTTCTTTGTTATAAAACATATATCATATTTGTTGACCAAATAAGGTAACAATCCCTGGCGATGTTCAGTTTGGGGTGCATGTCCTTTCCATATTTAGAACTTAGTTGTTATCAGTCTTTAGATTAAAACATCAAACAAAGGAATAGGCACCTATAAAATAGGGTGGGGAAATAGCATTCGGCAGAGCTCACTCCGCCGGCCATACCAGTCATTTAGTTATTTGAGACTAGGAAGAATTGTAACACTTCCAGTTTGTAGAAATAAAGTATTTTAAGAAAAGAACCTGAACTGTAGTTGTAACTTCGTCACGGAAGAAAACACAGCGTGAAGATTGAATCTTGAAGATTGAACAACTGATAGTACTACACTAGCAGGCTTGCAAACAAAATCATAAAATAAAATAGTTTATTGTTCCAGATATTATTAGAAGAGTTCACTGCAGATCAAATGCTGAAAGATATAGCCTGAGTAACAATTAAATTAAAACTATTTAGATTATAGACTATCATTAAACTGTTTGTGCATAAAATTAACCAGTTTTATTTGAGGCAGCCTCCTTACAATAATTCTAGTAATTTGTAAAAGTCGAATCTTTCGATTGTTTAAGTCGTTGCCGTCTTTGAACTTGATTGTTTGCATTCCACAGTAATCGCGGTGTCGGTCCATCCATTGAAAGAAACGTCAAATATATTTAAAACGTTTTCAACAAGTATCCCGTCTTGTCTTACAGGACAATGAATCAATATCTAAGAGTAATTTAACAAGTTGTAAGTAAATGTAACATGGGATTTAAAATACGCTTTTACATTCCATTGTGGTATTCAAGACAGTTTCTACATGAGGTATTTGACACGATGTTATGTGGGTAGTAGAAAAGTTTGCATGTGAAATTGAAAGGTACAATTTTTTTTTTTAAAAAAAAATGAAATGGGACACTGATAGTAGCGTATA